TTCCTGCTAACAAGGCCACCGATACTGCCTTTTATAATGCAATGGAGCTGTAGGAACTCAAGGTCAGAACTAAATATGCCCTGAGTTAATCCTTTGGAGGAACAGAAAATCAGATCCTCAGCTGCTACAAACTGGCAGAAACCCAGACTTGAGCTATGTGTATTTGCACTAGCTGAAGGTTTTGCCCATACCTGCCCTTCTGCATAGCCTGGAAGCAATTTTAAATAATCTAAAATAAAAATAAATTCTGAATTATATGACCGGAGAAATATCTCACCTGTGGAATCAATGAATGGCTGAAGAAAAAAAAAAAACAACATATGGCAAGACAATGGCAAGGCAAGGAAACAACTCGAAGTAATGGAAGAGTAATCAGCAAAGACGATTACCTGTGGCTTATTGACTCTGCGTGTAAGTCTGGGAGGTGGCTGTGTTGTGACAGTAGAGGAAGAGAGGACAGAGGAAGAGAGAGGAGCAGATGAAGATAATGCTTTTGAGTCTGCAGTCTTTTGAAGAAAAGAAAAGTTGGTCAGCTTGGCACACACTCTCTTACCACAATCACTGATAGTGGTAAGAGCATCTACTATCCATAAAATTTGATGCACACACAGCAACCATAACTCCATGCAAGGGCAAGTGCAGTTTCCAGTTGGTTTGTCTGAGCTGACCAACTCACTCTGTTTTAAACATGCAGGTTATGCCTGTAAAAAATGCTACTAAAAATATATCCAGATGGTAAACAGCACAGTTGTTGAACAGCTTTGAATATACTTCTGGTTATGATTCAAGCACAAATCAAACAATTTCTCATAAGATTTCTCAGTGTGAAATGTGTCATCTTGGAAACCCTAGTTCCTCATTCTTTAACATTGGCTAGATTGGGTATGTCATGGAAGCTATTGCAGTGCATCCGAGACAGTATTTATAATGCTGTGATTTTGAGCTTTCCAAACTTCCACTCTTATACAAGTTAGCATGGGGGTGCTGTAATGTATTCGGGCTGGCTGCAGCCCACAACGGACCCCAAGTCAACTGAGGGCTGCAAAGTAAGGCAGATCTCCTATAAAGACTGGGGGCAGAAGATATGTTGTAGAAGCTACTGGAGGGTTCCCCTGTGTTCCCTCTCATTGTAACATACAGCTACAAATAACCAAAAATATTTGGGGAGAAGTATCACTAGGTCTAATTCTCATTTGCAGCTAGACTCACATCATTTTGTAAATGCAAAGATAATAAATTCAATTTAATGCATAAATAACGATCAAGCCTCCCTGATTTAATCGTGCACATCCTGGACCACAGGCTCCAGGATCAACAGGGGACAGCTTTTGTGATTCTAGGAGCCAGACTGACGTTTTCAAGGCTTTTCAGTCCTTGGCTTTAGGAGGAACAAATCAATAACCCAAGATGACCCACTACACACTGCAAAATCTCTTTATAGCAAGGAATCGCCTGTATTCTACACAGCGAGGTATCTGGGCATGAGGCCTGTGTGACACTTTAATCTGACACATGTGGTAACAGCCACTATCTGGGACAATCCCTTCATTAGACGTGACCAACTGAGTCAGTCCTGTGTTACTATCTAAAATAATTTTCACTACATTGGCTCCTGAGCCACCTGCTAAAACTTTTTCATCTGCTATCCAGTGAATGCCACTCCTGACTTCTGGAAGACAGTCTTAGGATCATCAAAAATGACACGTGGCAGCCACTGGCTCTGCAGGGCCAGCAGAGCAGCACAAACTTCAACACACCAGTTAAAATCAGCAATTCAGAGCAGCACACACACATGCAGGAGAAGTACCTTCTTTTCCCCGCTTTGAAACTTTCCCAGATCACCTTTCCTCATGCCTCTTTTCTCTGTTTTACCTCCCTGCACAATAGCCATTAGCTCCTGACACAACTGGTTGTCCTCAGAGGAACCCACAGGTCTCTTTTCTGGGCTCGCACCCATGTCTAGTTGGGATGGTTTCAGGCAGCGCTCAACAGAGATCTTGGGAACAGAATGAGCACCCTGCTCGGGGTTGCTGCTGCCCTCTCTAGTCTTTTGGAGCCAGGCTTGGCTGCCAGTGGTGTCACGCTGCTCTGCGAGGATGCTTTCAGGGCTCTCCACTGCCCAGCGAGGGGAGTTAGAGTAGCTCACACTGGGAGAAGGGGAGCCAACAAACTTTTCTTCGCTTTGCGGAGTGGCCTGATAGAAACTGCGAGTGGAGGACTGAGGCCTGGATGAGTAAGAGGGCAATGGGGATTTAATGGACCTGGGAGTCGAGGAGCCAGATAGATGAGAATGGTGGAGGCTGACCGTGGGGGAAGGGCTGGCTGCCGCAGAAGGCGAGAGATAGTCAGTGTGAGAGAGGGAGGCTTCAGGCGGAGAAGGCAATGGAGGAGTTATGGCAGGAGTGGTGCTAGGAGACACTCCCACGGTCAGAGCAATCCACTCGGACGTGACCGCCTGCACCTCTGGAGACAAGGCACGGCGTGCAAAAGGCAAAGGCGGAGGAGTTGGTGTATGGAGCAGCTCAGAGCTAGGAGACTTGAAGGAGACAAAACCAGGAGAGAAAAAGAAATAAATGAAAAAAAAATAAAGGAAAATACAAAACGACTGAGTAAAAGTAAAAGGAGAGAGAGCAAGCGTGGAGAGGAGCAGATCTGTGACCAAGCATGGTGCATAAGTCTTCCATGGGCAGGTGTACTATGTTGGAGAATGCGCTGTGCACAGCTACTCCAACCACAGAGTCCAGTCTGTATCTGTGCTGCTAATACCCTTCTCTGGCCTTTGCCAGGATCCCACACCTTGTGGAAGACCTCAGACTTCATATCGTATGCCCAAAATCCCTAAGGGAACACTTGAAGCCACTATCCACAATGGCAGCATGCAGCATTTGACTGGCCTGTCAGTAATAGCTGAGGCCCCAAGCAACTCACACTGTGGACCTAGTCAGAATTCACTGCTGCAATGAATTTTGACTTTACCCAACTCTGGCATGTGCAATGCTCGCTCCTCGAGAAACTCGCATTGCTGAAGCTGTGGAGAAGAAAGGGATCAAAAAAGCCAGCTGAGGCTGTTGGTCTTTCAGTGATTAAAGTAGGTCTTATGTTTATAAAGGCAGAACACACAACCGAGTTCTGCCCTTAGCTATTACCACCAGTGATGGTGAGATCAGCTACATTAGCACTGATCAGAGCGTTTCTCAGCCCTCTGCCAAGTTAGGCAAAAAAGTAAGGGAGAGAATTGATTTACTAGGGGAGGAATCAAAAGAATAGCAAACAAAACCAAAAAAGGGTGGCTATGATCGCTTCCATCAAAAGGAGAACCTTGCAGAGAGCTGTTGGCAGACAGGCAACAGCTATGGAGAGACTGCCAATCTCAAACAGTAAAGTTCAGCTGAGGTCCACTTTGACAGGGAACCCCAAATAAGCAACAAGTCTTTCCTTCTTTACACAGTAGCTAAGAATAAAAACATTCCTTTTAGGGAAGGTCCAGACAGACACCAGGCTTGAGCCATGGCAGCCTTTCCTATCCATCCTGTAGAGTACATCCCTTCCTCCAAATCCCAGTTCTCCACTTTTGTTCCTTGCAGTCTTGACATCAGAATGACCTTGCTTTGTTCCCATGAGTGAGACTGGAATGCACCAGAACCTCATGGCTGTGACCAAGACATTTATGCTGACCTTCAAGCATGAGCACTTGCAGCATGAGAGCAAAACAATGGGATTTAGGGACTCACTGCCTCCCCGATACATTTTCCACGGCAAACATTCTGGGATCCCCACACTCTTACCCACTGCCATTTTGATTTCTGGTTTGCACTGCAGTATGGTTCATAGTAAATCTAATATTCATGGAAGAGCCCAGACTGGCCTGCTCCCAAAACCTGAGTTCATTTAGCACCAATTTCAAATAATACAGGCCACTCTCCTGACCCTGTCTCCCAAAACCGTGGTTGTGAGCTGGAACATTTAGGAATTAAGTATACAGCTTGATTCAAGCTGACTGGAATAAACATAATGACTCCTACAGACTACAACAGTCTGTGACACCCTTTTAATAGCCATAATAAAAAATTCACTCATAACACTGGAGGTCTGAGAAGTGTAAACACACACTTAGGAGGAGCTGGATCACCAATTCATTCCACCTCTGGCAGTGAAATTTATTCAGACGGCTGTGAACTGCAGCTCTTTCAACCTGGCCTGAATTCAATCTACAGATCAGAGATTAAAAGCAGAGTCTCCAACTCCTCAAATGACCCATTAATTAACCTTTCTGGTAAATGAAACATCACCTTTTCCTGCAGTTGCAGCATACTGCAGGGAGCACATGGCTTTTACTGCGCAAAACACAGGTCTTAGCTACAGCTTTTTTCAGCTATTGCTTCTTGCTCAACAATGGCAACATCCCTCTGTTCTGCAAGGTGCCGTAACTGGCTGCATATAGTCCAAGTACCTGTGGTGAAGCTGTCATGCTGCGGTTAGGGGAGAGAGACATTGGTGGGTCAGGATAGTCAATGGCATTCTTGACTACTGGTCGTTTGAGCACCTCCACATAAGTGACAGGGAAGATGCCTTGTCGATTGGTGCCAGAGATCTTTCCTTCATACCAATTCTCATCCACTCGTCGAATCAACGTGATCCTTTCACCCTATGGGAAGGAAGAGTAATGTTGTCCTACTTTAACATATTAAGCATTCCAAAGCAGATTACATTTTTACCTTGCTGCAGCTGACTTAAAACAATTGGTGGCTCTCAGCCTCCTGTTTCCCAGTTATGTGGTCCTAACCATAACCTCTGGGTGAGAATGATATTTTTGCACTCAGAGAAGGAGGAAATGCAGGTCTTCTGGTGCTGACTTGGGCTGCCTGCAGACTCAGTTATGCTCACATTTTCAAGACCTTACTTGCTAAAGCCAATTAAAAAAAGGGAACCAGCAGTTTCAGGCTGACCACAAAACTCTTGGAGATATGAGGTGTACAGGGAGTATGCACAGGTCTGCAATTTAAACTAGGTCTCTCTATGCTCTCTTCTATTTTGCTGACAAATTAAGTGACTTTCAGATCCTTAATAAAACTCAAGCCTCACCTTCATGTATAATTAAAAGAGAAGATAGACAAGATCTAATCTGAGCATCAAAACAGAAAGCTGGCTGAGACGGAGAAATGCTGCTACTCAATCTAAATATGGCTGACTTTGCTCTGAACAGCCATTACACAACCCATTCCTATCCCTTCACTATGCAGTCAGGTCTAGCCAGTCACTTCAATACCACAGAACCTCACTTGCCTGTGCTCAATGATTTGGCTTGTAGTACAAAGGAAGGTGAACCCAGTTTCTTTCTTTTCTATATTGCCATTCTCATGTGACTGTATGCATCACCATTGGAGAGGATCAGACTGGAGACATCACCAAATATCTAATTTGCCTTGCAGAGCCAGGCTTCCAGCACTTGTACTCAAAGTATCTTCTCAGCCCTAAGGAAGCAACTGGGACTTCTTGATTCAGCCTACCTGCAACACTCACTGCAATGCACTACGTAATGACTATGGAGTAAAAACATAGCTGATGAAAAGGAATCCTTCCCAAACACAGAGTTCATCTTATTGGAGCTTTCATTTGAAAACTGCAAGTTACTAGTGTTAAAAAAACTTCAGCATTTATCTAGATTCAGTTCATCAGCACAACAGAAGTCCTACCCTTCTGAAGGACATTTCCACTTGGGTATCCCCATTGAAGTTGAACTTCGCAATAGCATCTCCATATTCCAATACTTGCAATGGTGATGGCTTTTTGGGTTGAGCTTTCTCAGCTGGTGGGAGGAGCTAGAATGAACAGACAGAGGCAAATGAGTCACATGCAAAAAGCCCATAAATTAGTTAGTGGCAGAAAGGGAGTGGGCAAAGACAACCCCTGCCAAAAAAGTAGCTACCTCTACGTATGATCGTGGGAAGATGCCAACTCTGCCATGGTGTTCACCTTCATACCAGTTCTGGTCAATCTGCTTGTAAATGTAAACAATATCTCCTTTTTGCAGAGGAAGTTCCCTGTTAACAACACAAGCACTCCATCAGAACTTCACTGGAGAACAGATGTTCTCTTTTTTCTGTCCAGCCATCCCTAGGTACCAAGGTCTGCATCAGCCCCAGTGATACAAATCACACTCCAACCAAAGTGAAAGCTACATGTTGAGAATTACCCTGTTCATATTGTGATGTACAGGGACACTCTTGCTCTTTGGGCATCATGTCAAAAACTTGGCCTATAAGGGCCCTACAAACCACACAGCCTTCCTGCGGCAATAGAGTCAATCTCAAGAGAAAGATGCCACCGGCTGCTTTACACATTGGATATGGTGAGCAGTGCTTAATTCCTGTTTTGAAACAGGTCACGTCACAAGTGCCTTCCAAAGAGACACACGATTTTAACAGAAGCTAGTAGTCTGCTGAGTAGATGAATCCCCTCACACGCCAGTGTTGATTCTGCAATGATTACACATCTGGTCAGCCTGTGGTTGTGCAACCACTGACCTCACCCGAGCCAACAATTGGTATTTCAGTCTACGATTTTCAGTGCTAAAATTATTAATATCTGCAGCTTCAGGAACTCCCACCATTGGCAGCTTGTACTAGGCTCAAAACTGCTACTTGGGTCCCCACAGGAAAACAACCAACCCAGCCTTGCCTAACACGATTTTCACAAGTTACTCCTTTACTTTTGTCTGGCACCCTGTTATGTTCTGCTGAAGGGACACAATGGTTACACCTTACATCTGACTCAGTTTTATTACAGGTACTGGGGAGATGCTGTGTAAATCATTACAAATCATCACCCAGAGAACAAAATATTCCCAGGACATTAGCACCTGAGAAGAAAAGCAGCAGGTCCTTCACTGAATTCTGTTGTCCTTTCTTCCCTCCCTAGTAATGCTAAAACAAAAGCTTCTCCAGGCTCATGCAGAGGGAAAGGCTTTCCAGGCCCTCTCTTCACAGCAGTGTTCCCCAAAAAGAACACATAGCATTGTGCATGGCTTGGAGGTACAACAATGCCACCAGAAACATCCACTGGTGTATCCACAGATGCCAGGGGAGCAGTGACCGTTCTATACCCTTACAGGTCCTGCATCAGAACAATCCTGGGGCATCTGTTTAAGCCCCTTGCTGACTTTGTGCTATGCTTAGCACAGTGAAAAGGTTGCTGCTGTTCTGCGTATCACTGTTCTTCTGACCAACTGTATGGCAGATTTACACAGTGAGCTACTGACTGACATAGTTCTTCCGGCTCCTAAATTGGAGCACAACCAGGGATGTCATGCAGGGGAATCCCTTCTGTCTCCAGCATGAGGGCAGTGACGGAGCTGCTGCTGAAAGGTCTCATCCAGCCATCCTGCTTACAAGGTGTGAGAAGGAACATCAGCCAGAGCACTCTCCCGTGGCTCCACACACCCTCAAAGCAGAGCGCTCACTTGTTCCAGTAAAGAGTGCGAGTTTGCCCTAAAAATCACATGGGATACAGATGCCCTGAGAAAGAAAACATTTTCCTAAAGGTCCTTTAGAGGCTACAACCTGCAAGATTCGTATTACTTTTCCCTGCCTTACTACAGACACCTTTACTTTGAACTGCAGGAAAGACATGCCCAAAACATTAATCAAATTGCATGACACTTCATAAATGCTGCATCCTAGGCGAAAAAGCAGAGGAAGAACACTCAAGGCAGTAGTAACAAGCTATACTCACTTTAGCGTCTGTGCTTTAAAGTCAAACTTGGCTCTAGCAGGTCTCATCTAGAGATCAAAAAAGTCAACACGTTAAAACAATAATTAGATTTTCAACCCTCTTCTGAGGAAAAGCACCCGAAATCTTCTATAGCTAGCATTAGTCTGGGGATGAAATTGAGTGGAAGTATTCTCCTACAAGCTTGGGTCCAAGTGGTACTACAGTCCAAATATGCTGGATTGGTTTCTCCCACCAGGGCAGAAAGTGCCAACTTCTGGTATTACAGTAATTAAGAGCTCTACAGGAAATGGATTTAACAGCAGTAAACTTTTAAATGTGAAAAACCCTGTTGAATGAAAGTTGCTCCAGTAACCACAGTTACTGGGAACTCCAGGACCAAATTTCCCTTGACATGTGAATGGAAAAGCAAAATTTACTATCTGGGAAAAAAACAGTAGGATTTTATCTGATGTGGCTCTTATTGATTATTACCTGGCCCTGGTGAATCTTGCAATGTGGCCCATGTGCTCTATATAAATTGGTAAGAAAGAGACAAAAGTGAGGAGGAAATACAAATAAATTAAGCAGGTGTCTAAAAAAAGTCTTCACTGGCTATAAAGCCAAAGAGGATGTTGACAGCAGGCCTGCACTCTGAAGCTTGATTTAGTTGGCTGATTTTCTAATGGTCACAAAATATTCATACAATTTTAAAGTCATTTCAGTAATAGAGCATAAAATAAGAAGTAGTCACCACATTCATGGGGCACCAGAGCGTTTGAAACTACACAAAGGGCAGACAAGTGTACTCCACCCACGTGATGACCACCTCACCCACAGCCGCAGGACAGCACCTCTGGGGAAAGAGCCGCTCTCCAGAGCCCCAGCAGCAATCCCTAAGGCAGGAAAAGGCATTTGGCCAGGACACCTCCTAGCATCCAGCCCTCAGGAAAAGTGCCTTGGGCTCAAGGGAAACTATCTACCTCCTCCTTTGTCTCTTTCAGAAAGACCGACCAGGTCCGATGCACTGAAATATGCTGAGACTTTTTCCAATTGTTTCTAAAGTACATTAAGCATCATTCAAGAGGAGAACAAACAATCTATTTCTAAAAAAAAACAACCTATGAGACAGTCACATGGCCAGGATCAAGACATGAAGTTTCTAAGCATAAGGCACAGACAAGAAGACAATGTAGCAATATGATGCAAAAGATGTAGAATGCCTTTGATTCGCTAAAAGTAGCTGATATTTAAACGCATGCATCACAGGTGTGCACCAGCAATTCTCAGCAGGCATGCTTTAACATATGCAGCTTGGTATAGAGATATCAATTAATTTACCAGGCACAGGAGTCAAAGCAGATCTAAATGCAGCCAGAATGGGAAAGGGGAAGGTGGAAAAAAAACAAACGACATTCTCTGAAGAGCTAATGTCGGCCTAAAGCACAACACTGTGAGAGGCAAATATTGCTTTGGGTCAAGCAGCAGACTGAGGTAACTAAAACAGACCTCTGACCCAGATTTCCTCTTTGCTGTATCGTCTACATTTAGGAGGTCCCCAAATCGCTCATTAGTGATAAACTGATGGTGCGTTGGAATAACCCCTGTGTGCCTTCTAGCTGCAATATCAGCTTCTTCTTGCTCACGTTTAAGCCGTCTCTGGTCCTCTAAAAGTTTCTGCCATAAAATTGCATAAAATGGGCAGTAAATCATCTAGTTAAGGGCATACAAGAGCTGCCATAAATGTAACTTAAAGAAAACTCCTGAGGTCCCAGCAAATAGCGAGGATTTTACAGTTCAGCATAAAATAACTGATTCTACCAAACACACAACACCACCCCTTCATTTTGCAAGCACAGAAAGTACATCACCATTACAGCATTAACTGAAATCCAGCTCATACAGAGGATCTGATCCAAAGCTGATGGAAGTCAATGAGGAGTTGTCCTAAGTTTTGGCCAGGTCCTGGGACCTCCTGAGAAGGTTGCTGATAATGCAGAAGGCTGATCAAACCCCCTTCAACCAACAAGGAGTTTCTCTCATTGACTTCCAATAGACATGAATCAGCCCCACAGGTAAGTTCCAAAGCACCAAACTCCCCTGAGCTTTGCAAGGAGCTTGGGAGAATGACTAACCACCTTCAAGTACTAGGTTCTCCCATACTTCCTTTGGGCTCATGTAATATACTTCGTAAAGTAAATAAACCCAAATAATTATTCTGGGCTTCTGAAGCCTCTGGCAGCCTAATGGAAATGTGCACCCTTGAGCACCTGGGCAGAAGGATTCTTCCACCTTTAGAGGCCAACTACAGGCTAAAGAATTCAGCCCTGGGCTAACTCATTTGAAGCCAGATCTTGGTGACTTCCAAGTTTTGCTCTTACATGAGTTTCCATGCTGGATTTTGGATGTAGGGGGATTACTAACTGTTTCATGGGAGAAAACATAAAAAATATTTTTTCACATAGGAATTAAGAACAGGTTTTACCATATTTCAAAGCACACTAACATTATTTGAACTCAGAAAGTTAACACTAAAAATATAACTTTTTTATTCCCAGGCAGTGAAAATTAACAGCTTCCTGGAAAGCAATCACTTCTTTAACTCAGCTTGAATACAGGCAGTGCTGAAAAGTCTGTGTCTTTCCTATTATTTTGCCTTCTCCCAGAGTTGCTTGGCCATTTTGAAAAGGACCGCTATGTTCCATCATCAAGAACACCATAAAGAATTCTAGTTTGCACTGGGGGGGAAACTTCACACTTTCTGATAGTTTAAAGTATCTTACATTTGCCATTCAAAACCTGAGGACTCCCACAAGAAAAATGCTGTTCTCACCAGTTTGATTAATACTGACTCAGGTAAATTGCTTGTAGAAAAATAAAACCTAAACAACCATTGGGTGTTGTACCACATCTCACATACATCTCCAGCCTTTCTGCATTCTTTAAAACCATATATAATGGTTTTATATAATTTTGTGCAATTCATAAGAACTATCAGGTTCATTTTAAACAAAGCTAAACTAAACTACATATTATACATATTATACATTACATCAGTGGCAGAAGTAGTGTTAAAATTAAAACATACTAGTTCCAGCTTGTTCCTCAAATTTCCAGTATACATAGTCTTGGACATACAAGCTGTCCTTATATACGGCTGAATGCTATATTTCTTGTATGTGGAGCTGCCACAGCTGTTATTAGGCCATAAAGGAGGGCATTACCTCTTTATCATCATGCCGTCTGCGGATAATTTCTTCTGGAGTTTCCATGTAATCAAGTGGTGCAAAATGCCTTGGTGATTCTGAATCTACTTCGAAACAACATAAGGAAGTTAAAATACAAATGGATTTATCTAGTGTAACCAGAAAGGAAAAAAAAGAGATATTTTTAAACAATTTTTTGGGTGAGGCTTTGAGCAACCAGGTCTAGTGGAACGTGTCCCTGCCCATGGCAGAGGGGTTGGAACTCTATGATCTTTAAAGGTCCCTTCCAACCCAAACCATTCTATGATTATGACAGTAAGGATTCTCAATTGCCATTGACGAAATTGCCAATCAGATATTGATAATTTGCCCATTTTCTTTTTTTTCCCTTTTAGGCTTATACTTGTGAAAAAAGATCCAAAACCAGGCAGAAAATAATGGTACAGGAAAGAGTAAAGACACAGAAGGACTTTGTGAAGAAAAGATTCGCTGCCAAAGTATGATTTGGCATTTTACTGTTGAGAAAAGTTTAATACACACACACACAACTAGACCTTGAGAAACTGCTCCTTAAAGCAAATCATCTGGGTTTGTTTTATATTCCCATGTGTACAGATGATATAGGACTAGACATATCTCATGTTGAGATTCTTGCATCCCTGGAGTTGCTTGAGAGACAAACTGAACCTGATGTGATTAGAAAGGCAGCACAAATTGTTTCTCAGAAGTGCAGCTGTTAACGAGTCCTGAACAAAAATGCTCAGCAAGACACACAAAGGACACTAGACACACTAGGGGAAAAAACAGAGAGAGTCAGGGGATATAAAGGTGGGCAGTAAAAATGCAAGGGTTGTGGAAGAAAAGGGGAGGAGAAAGGAAAGCAAGAAGACAGATGAAGGGACACTGGTAAAGAACACAAAAAGCCACCTCCTAGGTACGTCCCAAGTTCACTTTGCGGGTTGTTGTTTGTGTCCAGGCTGTGGCAGAGGGCATATGGAACAGTGTTCCCATTGTTTAAGGAGTCAGGAGTGTCAGCCCGGCCCATGAAGCTATCTTGGCTAGATCCCACGGTGGGGAAGTAGTTAAGCCTCTCCACAATGTCAAAGGAAGACAGGCGCCTGGGGGCTAGAGGCCTGCTTCTGGAGCACAGTTGGTGCTGGGAGTGGTGGCTCTTGTCTCCTACGCTCCCCTGCAGATGTATGGGGTCCTCAGGGTCCTCAGGTCTGGGCACTGCCAGGCTTCCCAGGCAGTCTGGGGGTGGAGTCCTGCAAGATTTGCGTTGGAGGGGCTTTTTCAATCGGAAGGGGAGTGGGCTCATTAGGTAGACATTTCTGGGGAGCATGTGTCCATCCCCATAGACATCTCCTTTGGAATGAGGGTTCCTGGAGGCCTGCTGCTGCTCATGCCTTCGGATGGTAGTGAACCTGGTGTAGGAAGCTGGGCATGAGCCTTTGCATCTGTTGATTTTATGCTTCTGAGGCCCATGTAGGTTGCTGCTGCTGCTGCCGCTGTCATTGGATGCATTTGAGAGGAGATCTATCTCATCTGTGCAAGCTGAAAGTGTGTCCATAGGGATGGCATCACTGACATCTGAAGTGGCGTCCTCCACGTTGCTACAGGAGCGGGAGGATTTATCCACCAAGCTGTCAGCATCCTTCTCTTCTTGGTGTGCTTTTGGCAAATCCAGAAGGAACTCTGCAGAGTAGGCAGAACTCAGGGAAGTTTTAGACTGGAGAGAAGTGGTAAATTTGTTTTGTCCAGTAGAAAAGTCAAGCGAGGGCATTGATCTGGATCTCTGGATCAGCTGCTCAAAGGCACTGATACGGGAGGAAACGGTGTGTTTGGGGATCTGCTCTGAATCCTCTCGACTAAGGCTGTGCTCCATCCTGTCCTTTACTTCATTCTCAAACTGAGATGCAATATCCCTCACACTGCAGGAGGAGACTGTGCCCAAATGGATCCTGGATCGGTTGATCTGGTGCATGTCTTTATACAGCATTGTAAACTCCATCCCACTCTTCTTGGAGGCAGGGAACATGTAGCCTTTCCTAGAATTGGTGCCATACTCCTGCAGGCTCATGGTACTGCCAGATTTGACGGCATACTCCTGCTTCGACTTCATCAGCATGTTTTCTATGCTTTCCCCTATGTCTACCATGAAAGCTTTTTTATTATCGAACAAGGCAATGGAGCTACGAAGGTTTTCGCAGCTTTGAGCTTTCTCATGAGACAGCAAGATACCCTTCTTGTCCTGCACAAGAGCAGCTGGAGCTGCTAGTTTGGGTTTGAATTTAGAAGGGAGGATTTCAGTAATGCAGGCTTTTGCAGCTGATAAGGGCTTCTTATGTTTACAAGCGTGACCTAACATACCGGTATGACTAGCATTAAAGGTTCGGCTATTAACTGAAGAGGGTGCAGTCATATGAGCATTCCCACCTTTACGATCCACTGGTAAGCATGCAGAATAAAATAAATACAACCTGTTAGCTTAAGTGCTAGAAAGCTATCAAGAAAGGAGAAAGAACATGCTTGGATTTCATAAAATGCACTTTAAAGAAACAAAGTTCCAAAACATAAAGAAAATCAGGAAGAAACTGCACAACAAGCCACACTTCCAGGAGTAGGTGAAATGCTGCTAATGTTTCTAAAATGAGAGGCTTGGCCAGAAGCAGATCTAAAGCACTTTAAAGGTATCCTCCTAAAAAGTGCTGAGCATTATCAGCTTCCAGGGAAGCTGTGGCATCATGGAAAAGGGTGGCTGAACTCTGGGTAGGGTCAGGGTGTCAGTAAGAATGCAGAGGCACTAACATTGCAAAAATGGCTTAATACCAAGCCTGTAATCATACCTACCACAGTCTCACCACAGTGCTTGCCAAACAGTTTATTCCTGGGAGGGAGAAGGCAATCGATGGCTGATTGTGCTAGCACAAGCAGGCCACAACAGTTGGCCTTGCCCAAGAGCTGCCTGCTTAGAGATTCCCCATACTAGGAATAAGCTGGGTATGCTTCAGACATGTTTGCTTTAAAAATCAAGGAGTCAGATCATGACTTTTTTTTTTTTTTTTTAAAGTCAGATCCAGTCTGGGTTCAGCTTAGATTGCAGTCTCTTTTGGTCTGTTTCCTATTTGAGTTCAAACTCAAATGTCAAAATAACCATTCAGGTTCAATTGCTGTTTGGGAAACAATAACTGTTTGAACAGATTTTTTTTGTTCAGATCCAGTTTGACTCCCTGCTTGACAGGCCTGACATAATGCTGAAAACCAGCTGGAAGACAGAGAGAGACCTTTTTGGTGTGATGTACTATTTTTAGGGAGAGCAGTTCAGAAACCCAGCACATTCTTTCCCCAGTCCTCTCCCCATCTCAAGCTATTTTTAGGTTGAAGTTGGCTCAGAGACACACTCCCCAGTACAACTCTCTGATGGGAGCTAGGCTCTTCCTTGTCCTGCTCTTCTAGAGAGCCCACAATGAGGGGAGGAAAGGAGAGGTGATGCAGTGGTTTCTGCTGCCTCCCTGTCGCAGAGCCCACAGGGCATTGCTGGTTCACAGTGTCCATGCATTCTCTGCACACTCTCACAGGCCGTGGAGTACACAGTGCCAGCTACATGGGGACAGCTAGGCCAGCAGACATGGTGTGGCCTGCTGAGATACCGCAGCAGGAAAAACAGGAAAAGCAAGTAGGGCTCTAGCATGGCAAGGCAGTGAGAGCAGATGGACAGCAAGGCCAGCCTGAGCAGCCTCGAGGAAGAACATGAGGGTGTGGGGTATGGCTGAGGTGCTGGGTGGAGGTAGCTGCTTCCTGTTGGGAAGAGGAACCTGGCTCAGACAAAGGGGTCATGAAAAATATTTGCCAGGATGGGCTGAGAGAAAAAAAAAAAAAAAAAGAGGAAAAACAGGGTGGCAAAGAGGAAGGACAGAGGAAACCTCAACTGGCTTGAATAGGACTCTCAACCCTGCAGCAGTTTGCCCCATATCACCCTTATTAATGCTTCTGACACTCTGTGCAGAATGGAGAAGAGGTTAGTGCCCTCACCACCTACCTTTTGTGGAAGCAGAGCTGGAAGGTCGCTTGAGACCACTCAGCCCCTGAAACGGGATATCTCCACCTTCCAGCACACTCTTGTAAATTTGCCTTTCATTCTCCAAGCCAGCAGGGTCCCCAAGCACTGGTTCTGACTCCCTCTTCACTGCATGGTAGCTGGGTGCATATGTGGAGCTGGAAAACACAAAACAGGGGGAGGGACACCAGTGGATCACTTCTGTTTGCTGAGAGCTTCATACAAAGTAAGAGAAAACCACATTTGTGAACCCACAGTAGATTGTGTATGAAGAACTGGTGCTGAATGAAGAGGTTATGAACACGTTGCTATAATGTTCTAGGTTTGGCACTAGCGTAGTGTTCTCTACCTGAGGGAACTCTCCCTGCTCAGTCCCCCAGAAAAAAAAAAACAGCAGGAACGCACTCCTCCTTTATTTTACAGATGAGACAACAGAGTCACAGAGCAGATGCACGATTCTTTGCAGACACAAAGAAATTTGTCAGCTAGCTGGAAGTAGCATGAATATGTTCCAGCTCCCAGTCCTCTCTCCTTAAAGGCTAGCCATGCCTGTCCCCTGCTTACAAACCACAGCTGCTCAGGAGTTCATATTAACCAGTAGAGGCTCCCAGTTAACACTATAGCTCAAGAGTCCCAGAGCAACTTCTCAAGCCCATCAGTGAAGGACCATGCAGAGAAGCAATAGTACAGGGCTACAGACACTGCTGTTCTAAAGGCCAAAGAAATGCCCAGCTGTGCACAGTTCTTCTCAGCTTTGACTCAGGCTTCCCCTACAGGCAATGAAAAATCCTGGACTCTAGGTCTACCATGCAAATATACAAACAAAATGCTTTTAAAATTAGTACAATTTTAATTTCTTAGGCTTTTAAAGACTGGACATTTATTACAAATCCAATTTCTCAGTCATGAATCTAGGCACAAGTATGTACCCGCATCTGATTTCTAAATTTCACAGTTTTCTCTCTAAAAAAATAACCATCAATGCCACGCTAGAAATGGCCTTTCCAGGCACAAAAGACTTAGTGAGCAATCAGGCAGACAATGCTTTCCTAAAAGCTAAGCTCATCTGATACCAGTTCTTATGCTCAGCCAGGCTTTTCAGAATAAGACAGAGGCTCACACAAAGCTTATTCTGGGGCCAAAGCATGACTGCTGGAAAACTTGAAAAAATAAAAAAAATAGGGCATCTGTCAACTCTTAGAAACATTTTGAAAGCTGGTTAACATCCTGACGTCCAGCAGTGATTCAAATTTATGTGACCATTGGAATGCTTGTGGCTACGCCTGCTTGTTGTGGATAAATTTGTACATGCATCTGTTTATTTTGGATAAACACTGTACTTATGGGGTAAAGAGAAAGCTTTCAAACACATTAGAGGAATGGCTATGGAGATGGAATTACACAATATCCAGTTTACAAAGAAGATTTTAGTTTCTGGACAAGGAAAACCAGGTCATATGCAGTCCCATAAATTACTTTCTGGAGTGAAAGCTTCTGAAAAGCACCACAAAAGAGAAAGGGAATACTGTCACTTTTTCAATTTTTTCAATGCTCAAACAGACTCTTAGCTGCAGGGCTGTTGTGTCTTATGGGGGTTAAGTTCCCAAGGAAGTCCTGCCAGTTGTTGCAGGGAATAATGACTGCCCTGAGGTTCCTCACCCAGGAGGTAAAAGCATTTTAGCCTAGTTGTTAAAAACCAAAGGGTTAAAATTATCTTCCTCTAGGAATACACCTGGCAGAGAGAGAGGAGGCATCTAGCAGAGTCCCTTTACTGGTTGCTTCCTTATTAGGGTGAGCAAGCAGCACTGTATTAGGGCCAAGTCAGCCTGCAAGATCAGAATCAGGTGAACAGAGGGAAGAGCAACACTACAAAAAAAAGACAATAAACTCCAGATAGCTTTTCTCCCTTCTCTCTAAAGGCAGGGCAGGAAAGGATGGTTGACTCCACTGGGCCTTGCTGTTGTGTTCCATTCCCATCCTGCCCAGGTTGCTTCCCCTCCACTAGCTCAGACGCTGGCACTCCTGCATGCTTTGGGTGGTGTCAGAAAGGGCACAGACAGTGCTGCCATGGGCAGAAACCTTATCAGTCTTTGGCAAATATAAACTATGTTAATCTCTGAGATGTCAATTTATTTTATTGCTCTCTCCCTACGAAAACAAAACTAAACAGTCATAAGAGCAACCAACAAAATGCAGCAGTGTGTGAGTTTCCCAGCAGGATGAACACAGACAGAAGTGAACTGAGTTGAAAGAAGTACAGGAGACCTCTAAGGCAGCCCCAGAGGGGCAGTGAACTACCTGTGATATTAATGGGCATCTGGAGAAGAACATGACTTTACTAACAATCCATCCATGCAGAGGGAATCACAGTGCCTATGGACAATGTTAAGCACTCAGTCCAATTACAAGGAGCAGCAGGTTCACAGTAGGAGCTGGCTCCAGCACTTGAGAAACTCGGCACAGCTCAGCATCCTGCTCTGTTGTTTTGGTTTTATGCGTGCTCTTAAAACAAACCAGCTCCACATACAACTAATTTAGACAGATTACACTGTTTATTATGTATTCCTCCAGAAATCAGTGCCACATTAGACCTTCGAGAAATATCATTACTGCTACCACTGTTCCCTTCCTGGAAGCTGGAAAATTACTGCCTTCCATCAACAGCATCCTTTTGATTTGGTGCGCATAACTGGGAGTATCTAACAGGAGACAATCTATTATACATGCGTAACAGAAACAAACTTTGTTTATACCACACAAAGAAATTACTTGCATGAAGTTACAGTCAATTTGAAAACTTCATCAAGATGGAGTTAAAAGTCTGGTTTTTTTAAAGTCCCTGCCTGGCACAATTAGCAAGTCTTATCTAGACAATGCAATCACTCATGTTAATCACTTCAACACTCATTCAAGGTCAAAGAGCAATTATTGTACCTGGACGCCTTTGAAGTACATGTATAATTCTCATGGCACATGCATTTGTCTATATCCATCACCAAAAAATAAAGTCAACCCATTTCCAGCACCCAAAACCCTGTCTTACATGCCCTCAGACAGTAAAAGAGAGATCAAAAAGCAACTGGAAAACTTACTAGGAAGAATGGTCTGTGGAAGTTTCCAGAGGAGTAACACCTGCTGTATTCTGCAAAAGTCCAAACAAAGGAGTCATTGATACACAGTTACATGTGAAAAGAAAGAAAAAGGCTCGCTTAAGTAATTTTCCATCTATTGCTTGAATATTAGCCTTTCGGAGACATTGAGGTTTAAGTCTAAATGCCATTTAAGCTGTCAATGTCTCTGCAGAAAAGCGACAATTTTCCCGAGTTCCTTCAGGACAGTGACAGGTTTTTAGCACAGCCGATGTCTTTTCCAAGCGCCTATTCTTTTGTCTGCAAATGAGTCATTGTGAATAAAGCCAAAAGCAAGAAGAGATAACCAGCTGGGCCATGACCAGGAGACACATGCTCATAATTATTTCCCCAAGCTTTTCCCCCAACCAGTCACTGCCCGCCTTTGCTTTAAAGGTATATTTCATTTCTGCAGCACAATACATTCCTCAGCATTCAAAAAAAAAAAAAAAAAAATCAAAGCACTAACAAGAAAAGCAATGTTTCAGATCAGTTTCCCTACTGAAGAGAAGCAATGTGAGCTGCACAGGTTCAATAGCAAAAGCCGGTTCTCATCCGCTTGCTTTAAATCCATCTAACACTTCCTAGGCACATTATTTAAAAAATTGAAAGCAATTTTAGAAAAAATAGTCTATCTGGTGTCCCCTCATCTATCTGAGGATTCCTATGTAGAAAGAAAAAGCAAATCTTGGGTTTGAAAAAGCAGCTTTTTCAAGTCCTGTTGAAATGCCGCAGCTTCAGAAAAAAAATCAACAACAGAAAAACAGAAAAAAATGGCGTGTTACCAAATTAATCTATCATTTCATGGTTCAGGTCCTGCAGACCCTCGAAACAGCAGCAGCAGCTGACCTGCCCTAGAAGGCCATGGCAAGGTGCAGCATAAGGAAAATTGTGTAAAATCTCTGGGGAATATCCAAATTTCGGGTAGGCGTAAGCTCCTAACAGAGAGCTGGGCTCGTATGAAGGGAGGGTAGATGGCAACACGCTTGAAAGGCACGAGATGATGACGTGACGCCAACCAAGAATTTTAAGCTGATTGCTGCTGCCTATTCATGTGAAAAATAGAGAGGGTTTTTTTTGCAGATGCTGAACTCAAAACCCTAAAGGGGGATGGTAGTGGGGGGCAGCTGAAGGGGAAGGGAGGGAGAGAGGAAATCACTGCACCTGAATGGATTTCAAGCTGGATTCTCAGCATCACGTTCTATTATTTCTGACAGCGACACAGCAAGCCATGCAGTCAGAACGGTCAGAACCATTATTTATCCCAACCTCATTTAATAATCATCCAGCAATGAACAGATTAGCGCAGAGAGTTTGGAAACAGGGATTGGCAGCATGAAAAGAATAGGAAATACCTTCTGTGGCTTTTTATGTGGCGCTTTATAAAGCTTCTCCATTTTTTCTAAATCTGCCTCTAACTCAGTCTGGTAGAGGTAGAGGTCTTTTTCTAGATCAGTCTGGTTAAAGAAGGAGAAGAAGAATGGGAAAATAATGCTTAGGGTTAGGGGAAACCAAAGGAATGTTAATTTTGAAAAAAAAAAGTGAGCCTTTTTAATTGAAAAAAGACAAAGATGATATGGACAATACACAGAAATTCACTAGTAATTAACCATGTTTCAATCATTGCAAAAGAAACAATTTTAGGCTTTAACATTCAAAATTAAGAGATGCACAGGCCTGCTAGAATCTAATTCCACAAACCATTAAGTTACAAAACCCACCTGTAAAAAAAAAAAAAAGATAGTGTAACAATATGTAATAAGCTGTTAGTACAATTATCATTGCAAGTCAAGATAGCAAAACCACCACTCTAAATTATGGCTGATTATGCTTAGGAATTGTTTATTAAATCAATTTACTAGTTACTTAATTGTTAGGCTAATGAGCTCAAGCCCAATTAAAAAAAATCACTCACAAGCACACAAAATCCAAGCAATACTACAAAAAAAAAAAAAAAGAAAAAATCACATACACACATACATACACGCTAGATGCTGTAGTACAATGTACGTGAGACACAATTACCTTTCTATCCTCTCTAGTAAGGATAGAGCAATCTCCAGGAGTATAATCCCAAATCTTTTTTGGAGGCTGATGGAAAGCAGAGGAAGGAAATGAGGAAATGAAGATAAGGAAAGACATCACAGAGAATATGGAAACTGGATTAGAACAGAGGAAGAATACAATAGGGGATTTGCATCAACACTGAAAAGAAATTAAAAAAAAAAAAACCACAACAGAGAAAGAGAGATAGAAAGAGGGATAAATCTGCTATAGCACAAATATCAAGAGATCATGGGAAGCAAAAGGGAGCATACATGCACTCTGGGAGGGGCTGTTTTCAGTAGTGTTTGAGGAAATTTTTATTTTTGCAAGGTGCTGTAAGAGATTTTGGACTCTTTAGAGGGAGCCCAGAACTGGTGGTCAAAGCATTCTTAACACCAAAAAAAAAAAAAACCAAAAAAAACCCACAAACCAGGGGGAAAAAATACACACAGTCATAAAAAGCATTTGTTTTGCTCATTCTTCTTTTCAAAAGGAAAGGGTAAAACAAGGGCCTTTGATAAAGAAAAGGGAGAACCTTTCCCACCCCCGCCAGACTATGAATACATACCATGTGAACAAATGGCTGAATTTCCAGTGGTGGCATTGTGGGGCAATGAGAATGCAGAGTTGTTATTTTTTATTTTACTGGTTTGTGGGCTTGTTTGTGGGGGTTTCTGGCAGGGAGAGTAGGATGCATGGAAGTCTGGGAACCAGTTATTTAAAATTAATCCTACAGGTTAAGGCGCTGATTTCAAAATAAGATTTTTCCTGTGTGGATGCATGTGTAAATATCAGGGCGGATTATTCAAAGTGAAAGACCTTTGTCCTGACATTCTTATCCAAATAATACCATGCTAATATGCTCATTTTGGCAGATATGCACCTCTCACTGCTACGCTCAGAGAGACTTCATTCTTACTTTGTCAAATCAAAATACATTTGCTCTGTTTCCAAACAAAAATAACCTCTGTTGGCTGGCAAGCTTAGCATCACCCTACATGTCCATACTGACTTCTGTGACTAGATTATTAAAGTGCCTGCTTGTTACTAACAGGGACTGTCTGGGTGTCAATCTATCAAGGGTGAGACTGAGCTACAACACTCAAGTCTTGGTCCAAATTCCTTTCTAGATTGCCTGGTTGTGTAGTTTGAATCTGTCCCACTTTACATTTGGACAGACGCTGTGTGGATGCAAACACTAAATACCTATTTTTTATCCATCAGATCAGCAGTTGCAGGGGGTAGTAGATGGTGTTGCAAAGACTTATGTTTGAGATTCGGAGGGAGGAACTGGAGCGAAGGAAGTGAGAAGGCAGCACATGGACCCCTTTTTCCAGTTCCCTGCTTCTCCATTTTGAGTGAAGAGCTTACTCAGTGCTGCCTCAAGGAGGGCTGGGAGAAAGCAACCATGTGTGTGATCCCACAATCACAGCAGAAGATAAGTGAGCTCTGGACTGACCTAATAGCAAGTTTTGTGGATGGGCTCCACAGACGCACAGAGCCATGGGTCAAGAGGAAGGAAGGAAGGACGACTATGTGATGATTCAGTCTCAGCAGCACACTGAAAATGCATCCATACTGCAGAGATTGGTCTACTCATCTGCAGGGCATGTGCCTGTCTATGGAGCTGCCCAGAAATACATCTGGGATGCTGCTCAAGCAAAGTGTTACTTCAGCTGCCCTAGGAAGCGCATGTGCTTTCCTCAATGGGGAAAGCCCCATCCTGGTTTCTGGTGTCTTTGGAGAGCAGGTTCACAAGAATTCTGTGCTCCCTTTTACCGAGGGTATTTCCTGGCCATGTCACTTGGCTGCAAATAAAAGTCAGAAAGCCATGGGAAATCATGCCTGTGAAGTACACATTATCTTCAGCACTGGAAAAAAGCTGAGACTAACAGAGAATCTTTGAAAATTTCAGGTGCAGCAAACATCAGTTGAAACTCTCTGGTTAGGCATGAGGCTTAACCACCAGCTGGTCACAAAAATCTGGTCCTTTCACGACTGGAGTGAGCAAAGCTACAAAAAGTATGCTCTTTCAGCTGTGGTAATGAAGATCAGAGGGAGCTTCACTAGCTATAAAAGCCTGAGATGGCATCCTCAATTCAAGTGCCCGATGCTGAAGCACTATGTAGAGAGTACCACATCCAGGGTTTGGCATAGTTTATCAGGGATTGTGGTTGCATGGCTTTGGAGCTGGAGCAAGTGGACATGGGATATAATTTCAAGGCAAGCTATAAGAAAGCAGCCCTTAGCAACAGTGCCCTGAGCAAGCTGGGGAACTTGTTACTAGAACAGATGCTCTGCTGAACAAGAGATGGATTGCTGGTGTAGCCTGAGATGCCCTCTTCTGAAGTAAGACCAAGGCTGCACGACTACAAGCACAAATGCACACTTCTAAGGAACAGATATACCTGCACTTTCAGAAAGGCCCAAAGGCATAAATGTTCTCCTTTCTCTGACAGATTTTCCATTAAGTTACACTAACTCAAAGGATCATAGAGATGACAAACCTTCATTCATTGCAAGAGTATATGACTATTAATTACAGGTCAGCAAAGAGAAGCAGGTTTCTTCTCACTTTGTGGAAATCTTAAACCACGACAACTTCTGAAGGGTTAAATACTTATACTGACATCACTTAAAAGCCTCACTTAGGTTGGATTTATCTGACTTCTACTGCCTAAAAGTTAGGGGGTCTCATCTCAAACACTCTTGAAGCTCCTTCTTTAACTCAAGATGGAAGGTCCACTGCTATAAAACATAGTTTTGTATGATAGAATGGACTACCCAGCCCCTGTACATGTTTGTTTTTCAGCAAAAATGTCACTATTTCTACATTGTGATCAGACTGGGCACCCAACCTCAGGCAGCTACATTCTGTGCAGCGGAATTTTGTCACTTGTGTGAGAACAAAGACTAGATTTAAAGAAAACTGCTCTCTGGTGTCCACATGCAGTTGCCTTTGAAGCCCGTACCGAACCTTAAAATGTATTACTGTTTGGTTGTATATCCAGTGAAATCTCAGCAGCACTCATAAATGGTGTGCATGGGTGTTTGACAACTGACCTCATGGAGAAAGGAGAAACAACCACTACACTTGAATGGATGTGAGAGGCTGATACTAGGCCTTTGGCGCAGTCAGAGTAGCTTATTAAAGAGTATTTAACAATGAAGTTAATAGTGTTTAATCAGTAAGAACGAGGCCATAAAAAGCTTTAAAGTCACATTTTTTCCAGTAGCCGTGACCACTGATGCGTTCCCTCCATCAAAATGTCCTTTGTCCTATTGAATAACTAAGCTTTGTTTCCTCTTTTTCCAGAGTGGGAAATGAACACTTTTCCCCCTCTCCCCCCCACCCTCCCAGCAACACAGCTCCATTTGAAAGGAAAACACACTGTTCACAGACCCCTTTGGTTTCAGGAAATGGCAAGGGCTATTCAACATGGACTGATGCACCCCATTTAGGCAATGGGCAGCTACACAGGTAAGGAAATAAGCAGGAAACAGGATCATGATCTGTTTATGGATAGCTAGAAATTACTGGCCTACAGTTTACAAGCCAAGGCCAGGAATAAATGAATGACTCTCCTTGACTTAAAGGTGCCTATCAGCCATCCTAGATCTTGTTAGGCAGAGGGAGAATAAGCACTTTGAATAAGGACTTTCAAAAATGAGAACAGGGAATTACTTCTAAGGTTAACAACAAAAATGCAGTTTGAACGATGGTGTGTGAAAAAATACTGCCTTGTTGATACGTCTGGCTGGAAGATGGGCAATGTTTGTAAATGGTTCAAAATACTTAAAATGGTCACAGAACAGCTGCTTTGCATTAGTACTATGATGATGACATGAACAATCAGATTTTCAAGTAAATAAGGCAGCTGTACAGGTTTAGGGCCTAGCAAAGAAATGTGACAATCATTAAAAAAAAAAAAAAAAAAAAAGGGGCAAGTTGACTTCATTGGTCATCGCAACCATCAAACTTACCGGTTTCCCAAACTCCAATTCCGAAAAGAATTTATACCAAGGTTCATTCTTTAAATCTATCTCTTCTGGGCTTATATCCCGACTCTAAAGGAATTGGTGATAGGGGAATGGAAGAAAGAGAAGGATAACATTATGCAAAGAATACACGGAAAAGGACTGTTAGAGATGCAGATCCCATGGTTTCCATTCTAAAATGTAGATATTTAGCCTTATCATTCGTAATTTTTACAGCACCTCTCTCACAAAGGCCATGAACTGCTTCACCAACATCAGTTAAGTCTAATGGCATCATTGTGAGCAACAGGAATATGAATTAATTGCATTTTAGAGGTCATGCAATCCACACAGAGAGAAATCATGCAGCTTGCCCAGAGTCACAGGGAGACTCAATGGAAGAGCTGGGAGTCAACCAGTCCCCTCAGTCCTACTGTCAGACACTTCCATTGAGTCCAAAGCTGCATGTACTCAAAAAAAAAAAATTTAAATCTTCATTTGGTTAAAAAAGAGATCCAATGAGACCTGAATGAAATACTGCATCTTTAACAGCACATGAATATGTGAGAAACCCTGTTCTATGCACTGCAAACAGAGTGAAAGGTGGTTTTCTAAATCAAAGGAGACACAAGTCAGAGAGAGTGCATTCCTGAAAGATCTGAAGGGATGGACAGAGAGACAACATTATTTGTTTCTTCACAAATAAATGTTAGAGAATCAGACAAAACCACAACAAAGGAAAATCAGACAGGACAGAAAACAGTACAGTTGAAAAGGAAATTCCCTCTTGTTCATACAATCTGTTTTAATGAAACAAAAAAAGTTAAAATAGTTGTAGCTGTTTAAAAAACACTACTGGTGAGATAAGAGAATAAAGTCCATTGCTAAGGGCTATGAAGTGCCACTCCCAAAAGACATGTAGCTAACTCTTGCATTTCAGTGTACCTAGTCTTAGACATAATGTATCTCATTGCACTAAAAATATAAATACATCATGTCTGATATGCCAGTGTGACCCCAGTGCTCCATCACAACAAGTGATGAGCCACACACGCACATGGAGGGCCAGCACAAAATGTCCTGATGCAAACTGTCCCGTGATGGGGTTACTGAGGCAGGGGGCGGGGAAGTCCCAACAGTGCTGGGCTTCGCCAGATATCCCAGACTCTGACACAGCCATTAGGCATCACAAAAAAACCTCTAGGACAAGAGCTCAGGCTTGATGCTGAAAGAGGGCAATGCTTCACTCTGAGAGATAAAAGGTTACATCATGTTTGATGTCCAATGGCCTGAAGGAAGATTAGGATATTTCTTACATACACAATAGAAGCAATGCCTCAGTTTTTTTCTTTACTGCACTCCAACCAAAAGTACTCAACTTGTTACATAAGTGCCTTTACATTAAAACAAAGCCCACTGATGTCAACAGGAGGCTCTTCATTGCTCTGAAATGGCTTTGGATTGAGATTCTGATAGTCACAGCTCTGGGTGTGATTACCAGGAGATATCCACAAATCTCCTGAAGCCTCCTTGAAAGATCTAGTCACTAACCACTGTATTACTGTTGTATTTAATGAGACTGATGGAGACCATAAGGCCATTATTTCAAGATCTTCTTTCTTCTGTGATCTATGTCTTGAAATTAAGGCTCAAAAAACAACATTGGAAGTAACACAGCTATCACATTCTTCTTGTCTTTGATAAGTTCTGTACACTCAATTATGCTGATGATGGTCCTGCTTGTGGCTTTTAGAGTCCAATTCAACAATTCAATTGAGTACATGATGAAATTTGGACTTGTAAACAGCACCACTGGTGATGACAGACCTTTCACAAAGGCTTAAGTACACAGATGAAACAGGCCTTTTGCCACAAGGTTTAAACTCTGCTGTTTACTGTGAGACAAAATTGCCACTTAAGTCAGGAGAAATCTTCCTCCAGGAGGGACTGCAGGAATGGAGTTGTCATACCATGTTCAAACTACTCCTCACTGGCACTTCTCCAATGGGCTGAGCCAATGCCTAGCCATCGCCCATTTCAACAGGCCTTCGGACCATGCTCCTATCAGGGGCAACTTTGTTAAAGTCAGTGAAAGGACACGTGTGTGAAAAGAAGTTGGTTGCAGGCTCTTCAAAAAGTGGTAGACCTTGATTGCACTTAGAAAAAAAGAAAACCCACCAAAATACTGAGGAGGAACATCAGGTCCCAGATCAGACTTGATTCGTACATTTCTATTGATTTAGATTGCTGTTCACCCTTGTGTAAAATCCTTGGCAGATTTTTCAGGAGCATTCCTTTACCTACTCCATGCACGGATCAATGCTTGAGCTGTTAAGGCACGAAGTTCAGTTTACATTTGGAACCTCGCATGCAATTAGTGCTTCTAATTGAATCCTTCAAATTAATGCCTATATAGAACAATTATATCTTCATGTACTAAACTGGCTATCCACTAGTAACCTCATTCAGTATTTTATAGCACTCACAGTGTCACACTTGTACCACTGAAGAACAACTTCAGTGAGCTGTGATGATTTATGTAGGACTGGTTGATGAGGTCTGCCCTGCCCTCTTTGCCCTATCCCTTGCCGAGTGTTCTCAGCAAAGCCTGCAGAATGATACTTTTTTATGTCACTTAGCTGTCACAATTCACAGAACTACTTACTAATTCAAACTGAAATTGGTAACAGCCCACTTAGTACTCCAGGTTACATGCCAGTGTAACTACGGAGCCAGCTCATATTCAGTTCAGAAGTGGTGAGATCCAGCTGAGGAAGAAAGCAGGCCAGGGGAGATGGCCATGTCCTAATGCACTTCAGAGGCACCCCCGAGGCACATTACAGTCACTCTAAAAATCAGTCCTTCAGTGTTTAAAGCATCAGAGGAACACAGAAACTGAGCCAGCCTGCTTTGTTGCATAATGCCTTCAACCCTCCTGCATCAACTAATGCTGTGCCCTAGAAAAAATACAGCTGGCAGAACAGCTGCTGAACAGGTCACAGTGTCAAACGCAGATTAAAACTAGGGTTAGTGATCCATATTTAACACAGAAAACAACACGTCCAAAAGGAAAGATGCCTCTCAATCCCTCTGGATCTTGCTTTATAGAGAACAAAAATGTTAGGAAGTTATGCAAAACTGTTTTCAAAACAAAATTTACAGGAAATACATCACACAAACACTGCAATGTAAGTATAAAGAATCCTATCAAAATGGAACTGGACAGGCACTTGGGGAGTATTTTACAATCACAGAATAAAGCCACAAAGTAGGATAAAACAAACATTACCAGCTTTTCATTGTTCAGAACCGAAGACTTTCCTGGCTGATAGTCATAAATGCTCCTGGGTTCTGCACGGTATTTTCTGGTGTCCACCTTCTTATCTGGAGGCTCCCAGTCAGTCCTGAGGAAAGAAAGATCAATTAACCCAAAACACTGGGGTTTCCATGGAGACAAGCACTTCCTTTTGACAGGCGCCTTTCCCTGTTAAACCTGGTTTAATCAGGGTACTTCTTTAATGTAGGAAAGGAGCCTGCTGAAAGAGTAACAGTTCAGATTGGGCTCTGGGCACATACTTATCTATAGCGGGCAGAGTTTGATACAGTTGAGCTGCTGAAACCACTGGAGGAGAGGGGTTTTCTTCCAAGTACTTTCAATAAGCTTCCAGACTTCCGTATCTTTCATTATTGGAAATAGCTTAGTGATGGGCTTCAACTAAGCTGACAAATATGAACATGTCCAAACTTCGAGCAGAACTCAGGTTAAATCTCTTTTGCTAAACTTCTTAATTTTATCCACATCACTGATTACCTGTCTGCTACTGCTCTGGATCCTGGGGGCACTCTAGGGTCCAAGAGGGAGTCTTTTCTAGAGACATGAATGAATTGTCTCAGACTGGTATATCTAAAGGTGCCTAAGAGCAGTCCACTGACTATCCCAACCACTGTAATTTTCTGCACAGTTCAGAGAACAGTAGTCGCAAAGCATTCAAGATCCATATCCTACAGTGTCCAGTTCCACTGAAAACTAATATATTCAAACTCCTGATGCAGAATAACCCATGTCCCTGAAAAAGCCCAGAAATCAGGCCATTCAAGCTGGTAAACTAATTCTGATCTTGCTCTTTATATGTTCCCTTTGATGGGCAATGTTGTATGTGGATTCATCTCACCTAGCATTCACCAAACAAAAGGAGGCATCTAACAAAAACTGCTGCTCCAGGTTTCCTCCCACCTACCCTACCAACCTGATTTAGGATAGGAACAACCCACTGAGCTGCCCAAACTCCCTCCACTGGCTTAAGAGAGATGGAGACAACCAATTTTTAATTTTTTTTTCTTTAAAGTAAGGCGAGATGACTGCCAAAATGACTGGCCTACAAATAGCGTACAAATTTCAGAAAGGTTGATCTTTGCTGTCTAGAATAAACTTGACTGCTTAAGATTCCAACCCCGAATAAACTTCTCCCTGGTGAAATAGTGTTTTGTCTCTAGATAATAGGAAGCACTAATTATTGTAATCCTTTCACTTGCAAGAGTTTTCTCAGTGGGCCAATGTACTATGCCTTCACTTCCTGTGTAAGGAAGACGTGTTCTATCAGAAAACTTAGCCTCCTGTTCCAGGGACCTGAGATGCTCCCTGAATTAGCAATCTCAAATTATGGCATTGCTCATTTGAGGCAGCAAGTAGAAAACATTAAGAGCATGTGGAATTTTGTGAGGGAGGGAGGATCAGTTCAAGAGCTGGGAGAATTCAGAAGGACGTAAAATATTCATTGCTCATTCTGCTTTCCCTTCATTTGACGCATTCATGACTATTACAAAGGGGTTTAAAATACATGACAATAGACAAAGGAAAAAACCAGCAGGGAAGTAATCTTGAAAGATCAGAAACGACACCTCTAACTGAAACCTATTTCCAATAAAGTTCCTATGGGTGGGACTGCTCAGAGACAGAAAAATGTAACAAAACTTTTACCAAGACTCAACATAAATACAGATTTTGCTTCTCCACAAGTATTTCTACTTGCTTGTATTCTGAGGTGCCTTTACAGTGTTACACTGAGCCACAAGCTTCCACTGGGCCTGTGCAATAAGCACTGTATAGGCGTGACACCCAGGTAAAGACTCCTCAACCAGGCAGCAAACTCTGCAACAGACTGTGTGATGCCTGGTAAAAAAACCAGACAGACAAAATGGGGGACTGGGCTGTGACAGTGGAGTTCACTGCTGCCTAGTAGAAGAGTCAAAATGACACTTCCACTTTTCCAAAAAAGCTTAACTGGAGTTGTGGACCTAAAGCTTCCACCTTCGCTCCCTTCCCATTCACGCCTTTCAGAGATTCTTCCAGTACTGATCCAAATGTATCTTGGTTCAGGTCACCTTTCTGGGCTTGATTTCAGTGATGAAGTACGGTTTGGCAGTGGCAAAGTGGCAGACCTCTTAACAACCTTCTCTGAATCAATATTGTCCATCTCACTCTTGGAGCGGGGAACTGAAAGCTGGGTTCTGCCTGTAGGATAAGTAAAATATAGGAATACTGGTGAAATGGATAGGAGGCAAATAAATACATGCTTTACATGCCCTTTCTGTTTGACAGATTACACAAGAAATGTGAATGACTTACTGTCCTCGGAATAGGAATAACGAGGAGAGTATGAATCAGAATCTTCATCTGAAAGACAAAAGCATTTTGCAAGTAAGCTGAAAAAGCCCTGAAGCAGCAGCACTGGAGACACTTTTAATTTCTTCTACTAATATATTGGCCATAATTTGAGCAATATGCTGAATACTTACCACAGGGAGAGGATCCTAAAAAAGAAAATCCCAATGAAGTTTAACTTGCATTTAAAACAATTCCTAGATTAGATATAAATATTAATGTACTACTTACACTAATGCCTTTCTCCAGGCTCTCAAAGCACTTTAGAAAACAATCACTTTTTATCACAAAACTCCTCTACAGCAAGGGTTATTAGATCCACTTTATCAAAAGCTGAAAGATAAACTTGAGGATCTAAAAGCCTTAGTATATACCTAAAATAACTCATCAGGCTCTAGAGGATGAGAAGCCTGGAGAGCCAAGGAGTCCTACTCTCAATCACACACGATAATTGCTGGGACATCTTCCTTGTATTAACTTGCACACAAGTTGAAGTATGTTCACTGACTCAGCATCTTTTAAGCGCAGACAACTTTCCTAGCACGAGACACACGTATACTTGCACCAAGAGACTGTCCTTGTTCTGAAGAGCTTACATGTTAAATAGGAAAGACGTCTATAGAATGCAATAGAGATATTCAAGCAGCTCTAAAAGAGCTAGCAATAACATCAGTGTAACCAAGTGGTGTGGTTTGGCCACCAAGCTGAACAACTTCCTCTCTTTGATGGCGAAGTGTTGCACTGCAACAACACAGCAATGTTGCTCCCAGGACACAACTGCTGCCTTGGGCCGTGGAACCACAAACTGCCTTATTCAAAGATAACACGGCACTGTAGTGCGAATGCAGATGTGCCCAAAAAGATGTTGGGAGGATGGCAGTATCACCACCTCCTACTCTACAGGTCATGGCCAGAGGGACTTTGACTTGATCAAAAACCTAGCGTTATCTTTCCACTGTCTTCATCAGGCTTTGGAATGAATCCCCCATCAGCTGTAGGTAGTAGCAAGGGGAGCTGAGATCAGACCTGGAAACTGGACCCACAGGCCCATCACCTTTCTCTGCTGCTGATGGTTCAAACTTGCAGGGAGGTATATATGAGACACCTATAGGACTTCCAAGACAAAATGCAGAAAAGTACAATGCAATGGCTGCAAAGAGAACTGTGAACAAGGGTATTACTAATACCTCTGTGAAGAAACCACTAAAAGTGACAGAGATAAAAAGACAGAAACAAAACAGATGAAGCTAGAATAAGCTAGGTAAGAACAGAACATACTAAAAAAGTGTTATGTGAATTTAGTCATGCCAATTAACAAATTGAAACAATTTCCAGCTCTTCTTTCAAGGAGGACATCATTCAGCTTCCACAGCCAGCGTCATCTGCTGAAAAAAACCAATCTGGCTAACACGGCTGACCTGAAATTGCACTGAAGGCTTAATCAAGCCTTTCAGGAAGGCTCAAAGTCGTCTTAACTTTTAGGCCCTCTGCTGATTTCTCTTGGTGAATCAATTAGAGGGTTTAAGTTCCAAACAGATGGTTATTGACTCTGGTGTTCTTATCATAACCTTCATGTTAAAAAATAGCAAAGGTCAATTTTCAGTCCAATTCCCATATTTTAAACCTAAGTCACAGAAAACAAATATTTATTTAATGTTATTGCACTGAATTATTGACAAAATTGACTGGTATTCCTATTGAAAAAATTTATTCAGATAGCAAAATACTTGGTAGATCACAAAACTCTCTGTCCCTACAAATACAGATGAACAAATGTCTAAAGGTACCTTCACAGCCATTCACCTCTCACGATATTATTTAGTCCTGGTGAACAAGAAAAAATGGATTGACTGACTTAAAGAGAAATGTCAATATTCATTATAGCTTATAATTCAGACAGGAAACCATACAGGAAAAAAAATTCACTGCAGATAAGTGGTATTTTATCTAAGTGCTATTAATATCTATAATAATAAGGAGAACAACTAAGTTCTGTCTCTTTGAGTACCTTATGAAGACGACCGTATAAATTTCTTCCCTTTTTACAGCAGGGAATATTGAAACACAGAAATCTGGAATTACTTGATAAAGGTTAAGAAGTAAATCGGAGATGAACATTAAAACAAGATCTCCTGGGCCTCAGAGCTGCATTTAACCTCTGGTCCTCCTTAATGGAGCAGAGTATCACCAATCTGCTGTTTCAAAATCTGATTCCGTTAGCAAGAAGCGGCCATTTCCCTGTAGTTCTTAGAGAATCTGCAGATTTTTTTTTTTTTAAAGGATTGGTCAAAATCTCTACATGTCAATACCCATACACTCTGAAGGTATTCTAGAGAGGAGCCCAAATCTTTATGTTTCTAGGAGATTCTATGCATCAATCCAAAGTAAAAAACTCTGACAATGATTGTATGAAACTGAGGCTTCAATCCACCTCTGTATAAACACTTTGCAAGCTAAGTATATATCTTTGAAATGTTTTCTAAACATGAAACATGAACTCCAACCCATCTGCATCATCAGACAGTTCAGATCCCTTACCAAGGAAAGAATCTTAGTAGAGAAACATTTCCCAAAGTATTGAAAATAAAAAGCAAGTGTTTGTTCCAATAAAATTTCAACTACATAAACCAGCAAATTATTTCTGTATGCACTTTTGTAAGTGCATAGGGAACATTTATGGGAAACCCAGACTCTTAATATACTATCATGATTGGTTTTGCAAACTGCATTAGTTCAGACAACAGCAAAATGGATTTTTAAACTTCATTGCAAACAAGAAAAATGAATCTCTGTAAAACTCCTTTATCAACTAGGTATTGAGGCTCTTTGTTTCTATCTCATCCATACCCACACATCATTCTATCAATAGAAAATAATTTATACTGTAGTATGATTTGCAAGACAGGACTCTTCATCTACAGGTTTCACCAAGAAACAAGCAAGTATCTTAGATACCCATATGACACTAACCCACATTCATCTGAACACTGAAATGCAACTTACATCTCCTAGTCTTCTCTGAGAATCCCAGCTAGGACACATATTGTATGCTTTCTTCTTACACAGTACTCACCAGACGTTTAATGTAAACATTGAATGAAATGGTTAACTAATAGTCTCAACAGGGTTGGCTTGAGGCACAGGCTAAGTAGGCAGGTTCCTAAACTGCAGCATCTACAGTGATAGCAAAGCACAAAGCCAACAAGGCTGTCACTGGCAACAATTTTCCAATCAGGAAATGTCTGCATGTCCAACACATGCAGCAGATTCCAGTATTTCTCATATATAACTGTTTTCATGCATATGCACACAGTTACAGGATTATCGCTGCAATAGATACTATTTCACCGTCCCTAAAATGTGACTGCAAAGGATTCTGGTTTGTACATGAAGTTTAAAGGAATCTGCTGAGCACATGAAGAGGATAAGGTAAAGACAGCATTATTTCAAGTTGCAAGATGGGCTGATGAGACTGTCGAGTTCTATCCTTGCCTAGATGTGCCAACTGCACCTAAAGCCAGCCCTGAACCTGTGTTACCAAGTTATATTTATTGTAAAAGACTACATTGAGGGACTGACCCAAAACCCACTGAAGCAAGCAGCCTTTTTACCAATAGGCTTCAGTGGCATTTTGGGTCTGCCCCTTATACCGTGTTAATATTCAAAACCAGAAGTAAATAATTGAAGAAATGTATTGATCTGAAAGGGGGGTGGGAGAAATCTCATTTAAACCACATCTTTACATGTGAGTCAGCATTCTAGGCGTGTTAAATAATCACTGCACGCACATGGCTAAATACAACCGATAAGCGCATAAAACCAAGCAAACCCAAGTCTGCAGCATTAGTCAAATACTAGTTACAAAGCCAGAGGAGCACTGCAAAGCCAAAAAGGCATCATCCAGTCAAGGCAATGCTTATTGTGCAGCAAATCATTATGAGTCAGCATAATGCTCAGCAACTAGAAAAAACTCCAGGAAGAAAATAAATGGATAAGGCAGCATTTATGCAGAAAAATATATATGGTCCTTTATTGTTACCTTCAGAGATAGGACTAGGTGTAGACGCAGGAAACTGGTATGTAGGAGAATAAGGATTGTCTTCTGCAGCAGAAAAAAGCAGTGGATTTTGAGACTATCCACAGTGAAGTGGAGGTTCTGCTTCATCCCCCAATCTCCTATCACCATATGATTTTATCTCCTACTTTAATAATACTACAGTAAATGGCATCATACTTTAAAAAAAAAGATTACTGGATTAGCAAAGATTTCATTATTTTATGCATCACACAAAAAGGTATACTGGGCATAACTGAATTTGCAGCCAGTGTAACCCATGGATAATGGAAATCTAGAACCTGAATCTAGTTACTGTTAGGGTGCTATAGTACAGTTAAAGCACAAGACAACAGATACTCTCGCTAAACTTCTAGTACCTTCAGTTTTTTGCTGGATTTCAGGAAGTTCAGGAAATGTGTAGGTAGGGCAATAAGGGTTTTCTTCAGGAGTGTCTAAGGAGAGGAACATGATTTGCAAAAAAGAACAGAGAGGACAGATTTAAAGGGGAAGAAGGGCAAGACAAGAATCCATACAAGCTGCAGAACAGTCCCTCTTGTGCATCAGCACAAGATGCATGTTCTAGCATGACACAAGCTAGACGTCTCTTTGCTCATTGCTGCCTTGCATGTCTGGGCCCTGTGAGAGATCCTGGAAGCCGAGGGGACTGAACTAATTCTTCTGAAGCTCTAGCTGAGCTGAAGAACCTCTGTTAGGAGCACTGGGATTAGGAAACAGTTCAACTCTTTCACATTCCATCCTACACAACACAGCATCTATATATGCATAAAGCTCATCATGACAGCACCTGCAGTGGCAAACACAGCTCCAGTTTTGCATGCTCTATATTTTATTATATAAGCGCAGTTCTGAATTGCATTTACCTGCATGTCAGGCTGTTCAGAGGGTTCAGTTTGCAAATGCTACCGCAGCCATTTCTCACACAGAAGAACGACCATGAATGTATCAGCAGCCAGGCACAGAAGTGCCCCAAAGTAGGGGATTCCCTGAGAGTGCACCACTACCAAGTTTGCAAGTGCTCGCTACAATTTTAGGTTTTGAAAAGAGAAAATTTGAGGTTTTGAAAAAGCAGAGTTCAGATTCAGAACTCACCAAAAATCAGTGGAAACCTTTCCATTGCTTTCAGTGAGCTTCAAATCAAGCTTTATTATGCAGATACTAAAGCTTTACAGTGTAAGAAGTTTTCTCCTACAAACAGAACAGTTTCAGTGATAACCTATCCTTTAAAAGAGTGTGGGAGTGGGATTAGCTGCTGTAACTAGCGTTCAGGGATCTATTTTCTCTGAGTATGGAATTATTAGCAACTGTCTGATCTCAAACAGTAGTCTTAATTTCATGAGAGCACCGCAGTTCACCTTTCAGAACCACTCAGACCTTTCTTTGGACCTTACTGTTTCCTCACCTTTGACTTCAAAGATTTCAAGTACATTGGCTGAGTTCTGTGGTGCAGAGCAAACACTAGTTAACATAAATTAACATAAAATACTTCTATTTAACATCCAGTACAATTCTTCACATGAATGAAACAAAATGTTATCAAGGTGGTCTTTTAAAGTAAATAACACACATCTGTGTTACAGTACCTCTATTTAGCTTGTGAATCTGTTTGAACATTGTCTTGTACCAGTCCTTCGATCTGTCCGTGTTCTATTGGAAAAATATACACATAATCACAACCATGAACTCTACCAGCCTTTCAAAGTTCTTACGAATCTTCCAGCAATGAAAAAGGTTTACATTCTGCTTCCCATTTCATTTGTTATCACTGTCTACCTAAAAATCAAGGCTATATGAAATTCATACTTTGAAATATGAGTGACTTCACTCGATATATAATCTCTTATGTAGTGAAGCTACAGGACTCATTCAAGTTACTAAAAATGTACAAGCTTTGCAGAGGTAGGTTGTAACCTGTGTAGAACTCTAGATTGTGTGGAAGGTTTTGCATATTAATCTTATTTGATATCTAGAAGGAGATGTCTTGCCTACTTCAGTCACACATACCTATTTTCTAAGTATTCAATGGACAGTTAGAGACATTTAGTATCAAGTCACTCCAGACACTAGTTGTAAGAGTAAGTTTATAATTCTTTTCATTATCATTTTCCTTCAAGACCAAATAAACTTACACATGTTGTATAAAAGAGATATCTACCTTTAAAGTGTCTAAAAAGAGACAAACTTTCCATTAGCTACTAGGTGTGACTGAAACAGAAGAGCAGAAAACAGTATTCTCAAATATGATGAAAAAACGTATTAATTTTTTTTTCTCTAAGGCAGTTGAAACAGGTTCTTGATAGCAAAGAGAAGCATTCATAATAAAATAATTGGAACTAGCATTCTCTCTTCCCTTAAATCTCTGCAGCCTCTGGAGCTTTAGTAAATTCCCTGAGTCTCAAGGTAGGCAAAATGTTGGCACAGGTTTTGTGTTGTCTTACCCTCAGTGGAATCCCAATATCATCGACGGAGGTATCAGCTATGTGCTGAGGGCTCTTGACAATGCTTCTCTTCTCCTCCATTGCCCGCTTCTCACTTGGCACTGTCTCCTGAACTGGCTTGTCCCGTATGAGCACTGCATCAACTTTATCAGAAACTAGCCTGTCTGGAACTGAATCTGGAAATGAAAATGGGAGATTGTTACCTCATCCCAGCATTTCACCACACCACCATTCCACTCTTCTAAGGCAAGTAGTTGATGAGACAGACCGTGTCACTGGCAGCTGTGGTTAGTATCTAAACTGAAGGAGATCTACCAAGAAAATGTTTGATGCTAGCAAAAGCAGACTAGCATCTCTCAAGTAGCCACCTTCACACATCTCATGACAGTCTTAGCTGTAATGTATGTAAGACAAACTAAAATTTTGGTTTCAAGAACTGTTGGGAGTTGGTTTTTTGTGTCTTTTTGACTAATTGGTACTGTGCAATCTCATTCTTCATCAAAAAGCATCAGTGATAGAGTCTCCTACACATCTTTTTCCACTGGTGATTTCAACCTAAAGGAGCATGCTACATGGTGGTGGGGCACTACTTTTTAACAGTTTGCACTCACTTGCCTGACAAGCCCATTTGTTGCAAAGTTTGTAAACAACAAATTACATTCTTGTTTAGCATACATATGATTCCTCTTGCACATGAGTCTGCATAAAGGTGGGGAGAAACAACTAATTGCTCCAGACCACCTTGCTTCCATTTGGAATTCCTTGACACCGACTGACTGACACCCACACATAGCAGCAGGCACCACCACCACTGGCTAAGGAACTGAGAGAGCTCATGCTGCTCTGAAGCTCTACTATGCTCTGAAGAGCTGCAGCACAGCAACCCTTAAGACTCTTGCTGAGGACTTTTTCCTATGTGGATTTTCTGGAAACACCTGTGATTTTACAGTCTGCTTCATCAAGACTTTGCCGTATCCTATCCTTTTTACATCACCGCATGCATTGGAGAGAGAGAGAGAGAGACAGAAAGAGAGATGTTTATTCACATGCACATCACTATACTGCCCAAAGCCATTAAATGTGCAGAAATCTGAAAGGGGCAGGTAGCAGAGGAAAGGCTTGTGCATAACAAAGCACTGGTCTGTTGGTACCTTGAGCAAACACAATTCTGCGCTGTGAAATTCAGTACATGAAGGATTTGTGTTTGAATAGTTGGTTTGAAATTACCATCAAACTTTTAAGTCTTCCTCCTCTTTAAGAGAAATGAAATCAGGTTTATAAATGTTCAAAATGGGGCAAAGCATCTATTACATTCGTGTCTAGCATTTTCATCCTATTTCCTCTCCCTGTGAATGTGTACGTGTCTTTTGGTCCTTTTGTGTCCCTGGTGTAAAGGGCTCTCATGAAACTAGACCATTCTTCCATGACCTTGAAGACCAAAAGGAAGTGAGTTTTTTGGATGTGGATGAGGATGTGGACAAAAGGTAAACTTCAGGAAAAGTCACAGCTTTCCTCTGTTACTTATCATTGTCACTAGTTACACGTCCTGAGCTTCTAGTCTAGAAAAGTCACTGAATTCTTTAGTCTGTAGAAAATAATCCCAGAGAAGGTTACAAAGAGCTTTTTTAACATGACTGGTAAATACATACTATTTCTCTTTGATTACCTAGCTCCCTGCACTGGAAGAGTGTTTGGCTGTTTGCCAAGTAGACGCCATCTGAAACCATGATGATAATCTTCAAAATACCTAATATAGATGTAAATAACAGCATCAAAGTGTTACAATCTGATTTCCCAGTGACACAGCCTTGATCTAAGCAAAATCTTTATTTTGTTGATTTAGCAAAAATGAAACCCAGCATCTGGCTTGTGTCAGCCACCTCCCAACTATGAATTCACATTTAAGATGTTTTATGTAATTTTCTATATTTTTAATTTATTATAACATGAAGGTTTGGTAACTACCTAGGATGGCATAGCCAGGGGTAAAAAAAAATCTACCAGGCAGTTAAACATATTTTGAAGGAGTTTTCAAAAGTATTTTTTGGGGTGCACTTAGAACTGGTTGAAAGTGCTGGACTGACAAGCCAGGAGACAGGAAAGGCCTGTCTAACAGCATGAGTTTTATCAGCTCTCCCCCTGCACCCTGGTAGGTTCTCAGCTCTCAGCCAAGAGGACCACTCTAGCTCCTTCGAGTTTGGCTGTTCAGCTGATACTGCAAACACAGACACTTGTACACAGGGAAGAACTAAAGCTGACATCTTTCACCACAGATCTCCTACAATACCCTATAACTTGGAGAATAACAGCTAAACTTCACACTGACTCATTTACCATGCAGCTCCAATGATTTCAAAAGAGTTTATGGAGGTATATACCAAGCTTTGAGGTATTTAAAAATGAAGGAGCCAAATTTGGTGCCTAATTACCCAAACAACCAGACAGCAACACCTGCACTAGGGGAAGAAGCTGAGAGAAACTCGTGTAAGCTGTTATGTAGCCTGTCACACCTCAGCAGGGCAGCAGCAGAGAGGAGGGAAGGGCCAGTGGTGCAGCTGAGGGAAGGTGGTGGATTGAAGCCAGGTCAGTAGCTGCCTCACGGGCAGATGCTGTCCTCATGGGACACGCTCCACTAGTCCAGGGCCCACACAGTGGAGCAAGAGCGGGCAAGTGTTGGCTTCTATGTTTCTACGTGTGATATTTAAAGTGCTTAGGCACTCTCTGTGACTCTCTTTTCTCCCAGCTCTCCATTTACTCTGCCATGGCCATAATCAAAGAAGAATATCGGTAAGCAGTGTGTGACGTGCTGTTACTGTAACACCCACTGCAGACTGAGCTACTCCTATTTGGGGTGCAAAGAGGGAAAGATGACCAGGAAAACAACTTGCTCTTCTTTCAAGGAGAGACTCTCACACCCATTGCAAGAGCAGAGAGCTGCATGGGGAGAGAAGGGTGGCAGCACACATGCATACTTGCACACTACAATTTTATTATCTATTTTCTTGACTTTTGTCACAAATACTTCTGCTCTTGGAGTTAAGTAAATACTGATTTTTATTTCTCTTCCTCCCGTCTTACCACAAGCAAGACTAACTCTAATGGCTTTGTAGAGAAACTTGAGAATATGCCCCAAGAGAAAAAACCTAAAGGCTCAAAAGGCAGCTCCAAAAGTCAACTAGAACAATGAAACTGTATGTAAATCTTGTCACCTCGGAGGAACAGATGAGTAACTTAGGGTTTCAGTATATTAATATGTGGCCACTCAGGTAGCCTTTGGAGAAAAGACTGATATCAAACATTCAGTGACCTGAACTAAGCCAGGACAAATATTTATGCTCATTCCTTTGCAGTTCCTGGGAAGTGTGTTTGCTCAAGGTACTCCACAAGCTAACTAAGCAGCAGCTTTGCTCCAGCAGAGGCAGCAGTTGGGTGGTATCAGACCTTTCATATCATACCTGCCAGGCTACTAAGCCTTTTTTGCTGTTCTGTGGTCAAAGGGAAGAAACAAAACAAAAAGAAATACAGAACAAATGGGTGAGACATATACAGCAAGTGCTCTGGTGCTGCATTTCTGACAGGCAAGAAATACACTGTAGACAGAACAGCAGCAGCTGCTGGAAAGAATCTGTTTTCAAATACCCTGCCAAAATGACAGCCCACAGTCCCTTCTCCACACTGCAGCCTCATGGAATACTATAAATCTCATGATGCAGTGACCGATACATTTGCAAAGAGCATTTTTTTTTTTTGTCTTAACATCAGAGAATGAAAAAAGTTGGACAGGAGACACTTCGAAAAACAGTAAAGACCGAGAGTCAAACAGCTTGACAACTAACACTGTTACCATGAGCATGAAGTACATTTTGAAACAATAATGCTGTAGCATTATTAGGATATAGGAAAGGATTCAGTCATTGCTGGTGCTTGCTGAGTCTCATCACCTACTACCAAGCCACAGATTCAGTGATTTAAGCACAGACACAGCTTGGTTAAGCCTTTGATTACAGAATGGTCCCCTTGGTTTAGGGTCTTTCATTACTAAGTTCCCAGACTGGGACATCTGTGGTATCTCCCAGCATATTTGACCACTCTCATGTTGATGCTCTCAGCTACTTTCTAACAGGATGCCCAAATGACTCGCCTGAGTCATGGCAGGGAATAAACCAAGAATTCTTAGTTCTCTGTTCTTTCTACTCCCTAGCAATTAATCCTTTCATTTAAAGCATGAAAGCCATTTGAAAATAATAAACTACTCTACTGACACACAAAATACAAACACTCTCGAAAGCTCATACTGTTAATGCCAAGATTTCAAAACCTTATTAATCACATCTGTTATATATTCATAATCAATCATGCCATGCAATGCCTGCCCAGGGAATAACTGTTTTGGGGTGGCACGGGACACTTGCCAAGCAAGTTTGCAGTAGGTAACTATCCTCCCTAGCTGTTTGCTAGCAGAACACAGCTTTGTTAGATATTTGTACTACATGGATCAACTTCAGCAAGAGAGATCAATATTTCTCCTAAGTGCAGCTCACTCATCAATGAACTTTGTGATCTAACCACAGCACTTCTGCTCTGCTAACCACTGATAGCAAGCTAGTGATGTGCATTACATTCACATGATAGCTGCCAACAGATGAAGCAAACCCCTATGTGCAACAGGGAAAAGGAACGGTTATCAATCTGAACCTGAAAGGTAGATGGGAACCACCTGCTCCAGGGTTCACTCTTCCAAGCAGCCCAATGAGGAGTAGGCTGGTGTGTTACGAGAAAGAAGAAGAGATGCAAGTGAGGATGGTCTCTGCTTCAGCCATCACCTTCACTAAGAAGTACGTTCAGTCACTAAGGTCTCCTGCCAAAAACATGTGGTTTAAAGAGTCGATGCTTGAGAGCTCTTTCCTATCTTTTCCTTCACAGAGGACAGAATATAATCAAAAAATACACTTTTCATGGAAAAAAAAAAAAGCACTTTTTACATGAAGACATGAAGAGGTGGTTTCCTTTTCACTTGTATCTTTGACTAGGAAAGAGAGCTGCTGATGGATAGAAGTAGAAGGAGTGGAAGGTGTCTGCTGTTTCCCCCTCCTGCCTGACCAGAGAAAGCTTGTAGTCCCAGGCACACACCAGCTAACTGAGGCTTTCATCCTCCATCTTGCATTTTGGGACTGTAAGCAAAGGCCAAAACTCCATAGGCTTTTCAGAGAAAGGGTCAAGCAGAGGAACACAACTGCTGGCAACAGTGAAGTGAAGGAATGATTATAGATGACGAGTTCCCAGACAAGGAAGCACTGGAGGAGACTAAGACTTGAAACCAGTTACAGAAGGGGAAGAGGAAACAAGTATTTGAGTCCATGTTTGGTGCAAAATAAAGGTGTCAAAAAGAAAATTAAGACATCAACAGATATGAAGGGAAGAAATTCTTACGTTGGCGCTAGGAATGAACAAGAGGATCTGAAATGACTTGTTATAAGCATAAATATTGTTCAGTTGTTATTACTGAAATCCAGTAGAAAAAAATCTAAGATCTTTCATCACAACTAAGATGAACTAACTACTAAGATCACGCAGACAAAAAAAAAAAAGGATATAGTGTAGTTTCTGTGCTTCAGATGCCATTACCTGTTTCTAAGTCTCTGACAGGTCCAAATCAAAGGGTCTTACATGCTTACAGATTAATGAACTACCAGATAAAACATAAAATAGGAGAGCAGGTGATGTCTGCTACAACAGTCACTCCAGAGAATAAGATAACCAGCTCCTTAAAAAGCAATCAATAATCCACTGAGAAGAAAGCAAGCCCCATTATCCATCTGGAAGACTAGTTAAGCTACTGGAGATATCAGACTGCCAGCATTAAAATGACCTAGAAATTACTAATTTGGAGGGTATTTTGTAACACACAAGAAGAATTTATATTAAACCTCATCTTGACATGAAGGCATTGATTTCAGCACAAAACATAATTAAACATTCAGTGGAAGGTGGATCACAACCTAGTAACAATTTGTCATATGCCATAAGCCCAAACCAGTTTTGAATAGATAAAGTCCATAAAGAAGAAACCAAATATGAATTGTGTCAGCCAGAACCTTGACAAACTTGAGAGGTGGACCCATGCAAACCTCAAAAGGTCAAGTGCAAGGTCCTGCACATGTGTTGGGGCAATCCGAAGTACAAACACAGGCTGGAAGGAGAGTAGATTGAGAGCAGCTCTGAGGAGAAGGACTTGGGGGTATTGGTGGATGAGAAGCTGAACATGAGCCGGCAGTGTGCGCTTGCAGCCCAGAAAGCCAACCGTGTCCTGGGCTGCATCAAAAGAAGTGTGACCAGCAGGTCGAGAGAGGAGATTCTCCCGCTCCACTCTGCTGTTGTGAGACCCCCCCTGGAGTACTGCGTGCAGCTCTGAAGTCCTCAGCAGAGGAAGGACACAGACCTGTTGGAGTGAGTCCAGAGGAGGGCCACAAAGATGATCAGAGGGCTGGAGCACCTCCCCTGTAAGGACAGGCTGAGAGAACTTGTTCAGTCTGGAGAGACCATATAGCAGCCTTCCAGTAATTCAAGGGGGCTACAGGAGGGATAGGGAGGCACTATTTATCAAGGAGTGTAGCAATAGGGCAAGGGGGGAGGCACTGGAACAGGTTGCCCAGAGAAGTTGTGGATGCCCCATCCCTGGAGGTGTCCAAGGCCAGGCTGGATGAGGCTTTGAGCAACCTGGGCTAGTAGGTGTCCCTGCCCATGGCAGGGGGGTTGAAATTAGATGTTCTTTAAGGTTCCTTCAAACCCAAACCATTCTACGATTCTATGAAATGTAATACCTAAGATCTGAGACCCATTTAAAAACACTAACTTAGCAAAAATAAATCTTAATTCTATGCTGGAATAGAGCCTAAATAGGAATGGAACATAAGGAACTGTAAGAAACAATATATAAATAGATGGAAAAGTAAGGAAATGTGTACCTATGAGTAGGTAACATACGCTGTGAAGTAAAAGAAAATGACAATGGAAGTAAAGGAATTAACAGAACGTAGCAGGGACTCAAAAACATGTTTTGAGGTACATGAAGAATAAACATAAACCTAGCAATGATCTTGTTTTTTTTAACAAATAGGCATCATGCATAGTGTGACCGTTAATAAAAGAGCTGAAAAGATGACACATCTGATTACTATTTAAATTCTGCATTTGAAAAAAAAAAAAAAAAAGTCTGACGTCTGACTGCCTGATGGAGAAATACTTTCCACTTCAACAATAACTAAGGACTACGCTGAATGACAACAACTGAGGTCCGATGCTTGAAAATTAGCACATTCATATAAATTGCACTGAAGTGTTTTAGAACAATTTTCTGCTCTAAAGAGAGCAATTATGGAGAGAGCAGCTCACTAGCATTAACATTCAACCTCAGTATGTCCTAGAATACAATGGAAACTCCACAGGACAAGGAATAAAGTAAATGTTGTGACAATCATTGAATAGCATTAGTGTGATGGCTGGGATGTCTGTCTGTCAAGTCAACAACAATGCTAAAAAAAGATATCTCTGTAACAACTTATATGGGATTTGACTAACAAATACATAGTATGACACATGCAATGTCAGTCAATACAGATTTATGACTAAGATGCCTTGTCAAACTAGTTCAATACGATTCTTGCAAGTTACAAGTTTGACTAGTAAAGACTGAAAAACACTTATTAGAATTGAGACACTTTACAGACTTTATCAGGTTGCTTATCAGGACATGATCTATATCCCAATCAACAAAAATGTGATGAAAGAAGGCTCTTCAATTTATCAGGACACAGTATAATGAGTGCTAATGGTCAGAGGCAAGACATATTCAGACAGAACAAATTGTTAAATGTGAAGGTAATTAGTAAACAGAACAATTTGACATCAGTTGTCTCAGAGCCAGTGGGTGTGGCTCATCATATTGTACAGATTTGTCTGTTGTGCTTTTAAAATCAAGAGATAGAAAATATCCTTGTGTGGTACACACTGAAACACTCCAGATTTAATGCAAAAACCCACCAGAAGAGTTGTATTGGGTCTGGCTGAGACGGAGTTAGCATCCCCATAGCACCCTCCCAGTGCTGAGTGCTGCCCTGGCAGCCAGCAGGGGGTTTATAACACACCTTGGGAGGGGGCGGAGCCGGGACAGCTGACCCGGATTGGCTGTTCCATACCATGTGACCTCAGCTCAGCCATAAAAGCCAAGGGCAGGAGGAGGAGGGGGACATTCGTTACTGTGTTTGTCTCCAGGAGCAGCTGCTGCACACACTGAAGCTCTGCTTTCCCGGGAAGTGGCTGGACATGGCTTACTGAGGGGAAGTAGAGAATAACATCTTTGTTTACCTTTTGTTTCTCTGCATGGCCTTGGCCTTTGCTTTAATTAAACTGCTTTTATCTTGACCCATGAGTTTTTCATTTTATTCTCCCCCTTTGTTTTTGCTGAAGGGGGAGTGATAGAGGGGCCTGGTGGGCACCTGGCATGCAGCCAAGGTTAACCCACCACAAGAGTATCCCACCTCAAAAAAGTCAACAAAAAGCTTTGAGATAAAAAAGGATGCCTCAAATATTTTCTCCTCTTGAAGCAGTTGAGGAATCCAGACACCCTCATTCAGAAGCACCTAAGCAAAGCTGCTTCAGATGCTGGCAGAAAGGAAGAGATAATGCACTTGTTACCCCTATAATCAGCTGGGCTCCACTGAGGGTGCTATCTTCAGGATCAAAGACTGAAGTCTGTTTTAAAAAGGCACTGAAAAAAAGTACTTGAGGGGCTGCAAAAGAGCACATCAAAGTATGCCTGTAATTAGAATGACTACAAAATGAGGAGTGCAGGCCTTGCCCCTGTTTTCTGATTTTATTTTTTTTCTTTGCAAAAGGTTAAGTTGTAGCCTTGTAAACTGGAATCTGCCTGTCCTGGAGTTTCCTAAGTCCACCGGAAACCAAGGCAAATTGGACTTCATCTGTGTGGCTCTTTAGAAGCTAGTCTTTAGTGATGCGCATTGAACTGGGAGGCAGGGGTAACACTAGCCATCAGGAGAACTAAAAAGCAGAAGCAAAGTTTCCCTCTAATGCCAGAGGTAGAGAGATGCAACTATCCGTTCAGAGAGAGCTGCTGTGAGCCTGAGAAAGGCTTAGATTTGTAAACGTAAGAGTGCTGAAACAAGGTTGTTTTGTTCATGTGCAAACCCAGAGCTCAAGGACTACTGCAGTATTAGTCTGAGTTTATCCAGTTATGGCTAGAGGAACAAATTGCCAATTTCAAACTCATGGGCAAACAGATAATTTACTACTGGCTAAATCTCGCTGAGAATTCGGAGGTCAAACCTCTCCCACAGTAACTGAAAATATGGATGCTTTCACACTGCCGTAGATGAGAAGTAACATATCCCCTTTTCCATTGAGGGAGAACCTATCTCAAGCTACCTTGCTTCTACTGACAGACAGACGAGAGTATACACCCTTTTCTACCACAACAGGTCAACCGATGGGGGAGAAGCTAATACCCTGCAATAACTTATTCATATGTCCATAGTCCAGTTGTAAGTCTCTCCCGCAACCTCAGGGTGGCTTCTGATCCACAGGTTCTAATTAGAAAAAGGAGGCATTGTCCCACACCTCTAACCTCTTAGTTGCCTGTTGTATGCTCCAGTCACTACAACTTTCTGGAGGCACCTTTGTTAGTTCTTAGTAGTCTAGATTCAATTGTCCATGGCACACACATTCTCCAGTTCCTTGTAGCATAACAGGTTGCTCAGTTTGAGCCACAAACATCTATATGCAAGACTGCTTACCTCGATTGTGCTGTAAGAGAACAATGGTGGGATTGACGATTGTGGTAGAAGGATATGCAGAGGAGGACTTGTTGATTGAAGTGAAGGAGGTTGGATAGTCAGTGCCAGTGCCAGGCTGGGGCACTTCACTTAGCACAGGACCTGGGTCCTGAAAAGGAGAGCAACACATCATTAGCAGCATGCAGAAGGCTGCTACACTGGGAAAATCTGGGAAAAAAAAACCCAAACAAATCCAACATTTTCAACCGAATGACAAGCAGAATCACAGCAAATTTTAGTAAAAAAGGCATAAGCATGAGCATTACCCTGCTCCTTGTACATACCCTGCTTGTTGTTAATGCAATTAGTTTGCTAAGGCACTACTATAATTATTTGGTGTTGGGTTTCACAACTCCAACCCCAAAAGGAGGCACTAAATTCATTCGGCAGACTCTCTGGAACAAACACAGGGTGCCAGAAATGAGCAAATCAGGTTGGGAGGGTAGGGAGGTTGGAAAGATATAGACATCTTCCCCTGATACATATCCACACGAATGTTTGTTTTGAAAGTATTCCTTTCATAGCAACAAGTCAGACATGCAAAACTCATGCAATTCTGGAGTGAAACTTTATTACTGCATCTGGTTTGGTAAGGAAGGTCCAAGGAACAAGGTTAGCACCATCACTCAGGAGATAGTGTGATACCTACCTGGCTAAAATAATGAAATAAATTTTAAAACCCCCAACAGACAGAGGGTAAAAAGTAGGTCTCTAACACAAAGGATACTTAACATGGCTTTGCCGCTGAAGCACGGGCAGCAGGCTGCTCTTGCTCTCGTAAAGCATCCAGCTCCATTATTTGCTTATTTCAAACCCACCTCTGCTATCACCACAGCTCTGGTTCTGTAGAAATACGGGCTGTGTCAGCAAGGAGGCTTTAGAAGACTAGTTCATCTTTGAAACATCTCAACCCAGGGATACTGGGCTTTGTTGGTAGTAAGGGGAAAAGACAAAGAAGGGATGATGGCTAAGAAGACTGCGTGTGTCAGTTTAGGCTGAGATTTTTCAAAGCTTCTTAAAGAATCTGGACACACAATTACTGTTAACGGGGAATGAGCATCTAAGCAAAGAGAGTATGGAACGGTTTGCTACTCCAGTGTCAGGCTAAAATGCTGCAGGCTACAGGTCTGTAAAAGGGAGCTGAGTGTTCAGGGGGATTTTCATCACTATTAAAAAAAACCTGAATATTCACAGAATATCACTCCAGAAGAATCCCTGCTCCTGGCCTTTCTGGCCAAGTGTATCTCAGTGCCCTTCATACCTACCAGCATCAGGGGAAGGGACTTACAGGATCAGGCAGGGGCCTGAACAGGGGCCAGAGTGAGGACTGGCACCAGAGCTCAGAGACAAATCATAGTGAGAATTGGCCATGATCGGAACAAGCATCTACGGACTCTCCAAACCTAGAGGGGAAGTAGGGAAGAACAATCCTGCTCTGCTGAATGGAGGTAATCTTGCTCCAAGCAGCATCTGATCAGGCCATAGCCATTTCACGAGGACAGAAAAGATCAATGCTCTTCAGAAATAGATGTGCCTGAGAAAGAGAGGCAGCCCCATTTTGTTGGTGATGATAATATTCCAAACAATGCAATTTGGGAAAAGGAGTGGGAGTCAGGGAGAAGTATGAGAGTTGGGTTTTAGCTTCACTTTAATAACTAAAATATAAAGATCCTCTGAAAGAAGAGGGATATCAGACCAGGGTAGGCTCAGCAGCCCCAGCTAAGTCGCCAAAGTGGGTGAACAGACCATTTAAATCATTGTGGAAAACAGCTCTGTGACCACATGCCTGAAGGGAGCATGCCCAAAAATGTTTCAAAACTCATCTCATGAAAATCAGATATTGGATGCCTGTTTTTCTGGAGCCTGCAGATAGGCTACATTTAAAAAAAAAAAAAAAACAAAAAACAAACCCCCAAACTGTCATTGTTTTCTGCAGAAAAAAGCCACCAATTTCACCAGAAGCAGAAAGGCCAATGCTGAAAACTTTTGAAAGCAGCATCGTTGGTTGTTTTGGTTTTTTTTTTTCTTTTCCCCACCCCCACATGCCTGTTTGCTAGATCCCTGTAGAGTCAGAGGGCAGAGAAAGCATCATCATGAAAGGAGGGGGTTTGTGCTGAACTTCTTACTTGCCCTTATAAGCAACCATATAAATAAAATAATGGTGGTTGTAAGACTTCAGTGCAAGAAGGGTCAGGTACTTCTTGCCTCCTCTGCAACTTTAACTGAGAGCTACTTTTCCTCCTTGTCCTTGAGGACTACTTAAAACAGGTGATGAGTTTAAAGAGAAACAAAACCTAATCCAAGAACAACACAGTAAATTTCAAGTTAAAACTGTTGCAGACTTAATTATTCAAAATCTTCAAAGACAACCAATTCCAAACTGAAGAGACACTCCCTAATCTATCCCATAGCACCTACACGCTTGCTTGGAAGATTCTCAGCTCAGTAACTGGTATTATTGCTTGTAGGTCATTGGATACCGGCAGCAATCTTACACTGATTTTAGCAGGAATTTGTGTAGAGACCATACAGTCTTGTGGCTCCAAGTGGAACAGAAAGCCAGCCCTAACCTCTAACTGTTCTGCTGTTGCTGCTTTAAATGTTATTCAGGCACTTTTAAGGATGCTATTAAAAGAGCTTGAAGAGATCAGTTAGTTGCAGCTATTCTATTTATACAGAATTCATTATTCTGAGCAAATCCTGAGAAGACTCTTAAAATGTGCATCACCTAGCAGAATGGGCAAGAAGGGAGACAGTCAAATGTTGCTGTGAGAAGTCAATAGAAAGTTCAAAGCTGCACAAGGCAGGCAACAAGCATGCACTAGCATAAGATGTAAACAAGGTTTCAGTTGTCATGCTGCTGGCAGGGAGTGAGTCATCACTCCTCTCTCAAGTTTAGTATTGCAAGGAGAAAGTAATTTTAATCTGGGAATACAAATTTAGGAAAAGGGCGAGGAGGGTACTTGGCAAGCTTACTGTATGTGAGATGACTCCAGTGATTTCAGGCTTCAAACCCCTGTGCAAAGCCCCCACGACTGGAGGGACAAGTGAAGGTGGTGATGAGAAGAATGGCAGTTTCGGGTAAACAGAGGGTAATGTGCCAGATGCGGAGGATGCTTGGTTATGGTGGGAACCCCTCTGGAGATGTGGGGGAATGAAATCATCTAGAGTCGGAAAAGTCAAGGGTGAGCCAGAAGAAACAGTCTCAGGGAATACGCAGCCTTGCCCGAAAGGAACCAGAGGCGGTGGTGGAGTGCTGGAGCTGCCTTCTTGATGTCTGTCTGGATTAACCTGGAGGAGGGGGACTACTATAACCCCAGGCTGAGCTGTGGCTGTGGTGGCAGTGGCATCCTGTAGGAAACAAGGTGTTGTTATGCAATGGGGGAGATTGGTACTTTAGTCTAATGCAGCCATATAGTGTCATGCAAGGATGCACTCAAAATGGTATGAAACCCCAACAGATTTTCTTTCCTCAGGGAGACATACTTCTTCAGTCTTGCAGCTGTGGTCTCTATGAACACTCACAGTTTTTCACAAAAATCTTCCCTCCCCCCACCACCCGTCTTCTCCAGTTCTGTGCAGTGAGGTTAAATTGAACCACAAAACAGCTCTGCATTTACCTTCACTTAAGAAGCACCAACCATCATATTACAGAGTTTGCTTCTTTCACAACTCCCTAAAATAGTAAGAGCCTCGCCAGCCCAGCCCAACCCCCTACAAACACCACACGCACAAACACACAGATCAATGTCAGACGGACACACATGGGATGTTAAGTATTATTCAGTAGAAGACCACAAGACTCAGGTGGCACAAGGAGTGCTCAGAAATTAGGTAGGAGGAGAATAAAGCATTAAGGGAACATTGTAATGAATTAAAGAACCGTTCACACAGCTGAAAGAGAACAAGGTTACGGAAAAAACATGTACCACGCTGCATCCCATTGCCTTGTATGGTGGCTGTCGCTGCTGAGTAAGGTAAGGCTCTTTTCTCATCCTGTCCTTTGTGGCAGCTGTGCTCAGGGGCTCTAGCACTCTGTCCCTCACACCTTGCGGAGGTGACGACTCAGTCCAGGAGGGTTGGCCCGCACCATAACTATCTGCGTCTTTACTGAGGACAATGTAAAAGTACGGCCTGGGAGGAATAGGAGGAGGAGGAGGAGCAGGAAGAGACTCTCCAGTATCTGTTACAGAGGAAACAATGTTGGTGGCTGGTGCCTGAGTGAGCTCAGCGCCCAAATCGGTGCTGGCTGCTGGGTCATGTGCAGTGCCAGTGGAATTTTCAGATGTGGCTGAGCAAGTGCTGTTAGATAAACAAGCTACATATAGTTTGGCGACCTTTTTATCCACCTTCGCCTCATGACTGGAATTCATTCCAGCCTTACTACTGGGATCTGCCCTGTCAGGGTTGCGTTGTATGGATGATGCATCCGACAAGGAGCAACTTTCCACAAGTGGCTGCCCAGCATGCACCTCATCTTTGGGGCCTGAAGAGGGAGAATGCCCTGCTGGCAAGCCTTGCCTCCCACTGGGGACAGCCCCATAGGGAGTAGGTGATGAGAAATAACACCGTGCACTGGCATTTGGTGATGCACGCTGCGTATAAGGCTTGGGTGCATTCAGGTACACGCAGTCCATAATAGGCACTGGCAACAGGTTGGTCACTTTAGTGTCAGTGCGAGGACGCCATGCAAAGCTTTCCTCTTTGGGAAGAGGAGGACGGGGAGGAGCGAGGGCCTGCCCAGGCAGAGTCAACAAGAAAGAGAGGGAGAAAGGAAGCAGTGCCAAATGAAAGGAAAAAGGAAGGAAAAAAAAAATTTTTGAAGAATTAATTCGGTCATTAGACTTGGGTTAAGCAGGTTTTAATACAGCAAGAACAAAAAGCAAATACAGTATCTGGAAGGCCAGTGCAGAACTCTCTGACGCACACCATCTCACACATTCTCTCTTTCTCAGCACTGCTCAGCGCACCATGCAAACTCTACGCAGCTCTCAAGCCCCTGCCTACACATTTATCTCTGGGCTACATCAATCTCAGTGCTGTGCTGTTTCAAGAGGCCTGCACAGCAATACCCACCACACCCCTGGGAAAGCCCGGAGTCAAGATTTAACATCCTGGCTAAATAAACCCAGGCTCATGCCTGCATAACCAAATACTTCCCAGCACTGGGCACATTTGAATCACAAAGGCAAATTCAGAGCTCCAGGCCATCTCTGCTGCCTGTTAAGTGCGCTGCCAAAAAATGAATGTTGCAAAGTTTCACCAGTGCTAATGAAAGCAGCTATCCTGTGAATACTATACCCTGCCACAGCTAGCTAAGTAAAAGTCGGCATTTCCTCCTTCTAAAAGCTAACTCTGGAACTCTCTTCAGAATTGTTCAGTCCTGAAAATGCTTCCAGAAACACCAGAACAATTAAAGTTGCTTGAGGAACGGAGTTCACAAGAATTTGCGTCCAGAATCAAGATCACCAACAGAGAAATCCTGCTTCCAGTAAATAATAAAAAAGCTTTACTGTTTTTGGTAATTTGCAACATACAGGTTCCTAACTCTACAGCTGCCTGACAACTGCAATTCCAACTCCAATTACAGTGAATTTTTTCTGAAAGCCAAACTGTTCTGAAGTAAAATAACTTATCAATAGAGAGGTTTCATTTTATCTATTGCTTTGTTGCCAGTAGCTGAAAACTATAAGCCATTGAAAGGAGGAGAACCAACACACGACCTAGTGAACAGCAGCTCCCTGCATTCTTGCACATTAACCCTCTGGATACTATGAAAGTAGGTTTTACACACACCCTGCTGCCATATCTTTATGGGCAAAGGCTGGCTAAACCACTGCTAAAATGGCCAAAACCAGAGAATGAAGACACCTTAACAGCTTGCGACATTCAAAGCTGAAAAAATACCTCCTTTAAAATTCATCCACATCTGACAGGTTGTGACCAGCACCTACTCTTGTTACATGGATATCGACCTATAATAGCTTCATAAAACTACAGCTGCTGTCCCGAAACCTACTGTCCTCATGCTGCCCCTCTTTCCCCACCTCCCTTGATGTGTAAGGGAGTGGAGAAGTGGGCTGGTAAGTGCTCCTTCTGAAGGGCTCTGCTTCTGGAATAGGCTCACTCCTTTTAATTCCTTAAGGATAGTAGTGCCACAATATTTCCCTAGGTTAGGTGAAGCCTCACTTCACCACTACACAGTATTATCAGGAAATACTAATTCACCACCTGCAATTGCTGTTTTCCATTTTCTTCCATTTCAGCTTAGTTTAGACAGCAGTCTTTGAGACTTCTATAAGAAGTACTATGTGCATCAGTGCTCTCTCTGTTCATCAACAAGATCAACAAGGGCCTACAGGACATCTGTAAGTATCAGGCAGTAAATGGGTCTCTCTTTTAGGTTGTTGTTCCTTCCTATGCTTTCAGCCGAGTTGTGCCTTCTTCCACTTTCACTTACAATTTCAGGAATGGTGTCTGTTCTGTGGCATTGCTATAGGTCCCTGATGATGGGAGCAGTCACCCTGACAAGGGACAAGGCTTTAAAAAGACTTTCACACAAGAAAATGGTTTCTAATAAAGGGTTTCCTTATCAGCTTTCAGACTGCTTCTGTGCAGACTGACCACCCAAAAGAAAATGATGAAGTAACACTTCTCTTAACAGATTGACTTCAACAATTTACCTTCAGGTACAAACAACCCTTCCCTTGTTGGCTTGTATCAGTTACAGTGTTAAAACTAAAAGGCATTTCCCCAATATCTTGGTTTTAATGTTGGGTGTAACTCTGCTTTCAGTCTGCAGCAACCTCTAGGAAATAGACCAACATAAAAGACAAAACAGTAATAGATGATTACTTCACCTTTTTTCTTGCTATTTGTTAATAGTGTTGTCCTCCTCCTCCTTCATCCATCAAGGAAACACTGTGGCATGTCTGAACACACAAGCTCCACAGCACTCTGCTGACATCAGTGTTGCCCCCATTTTAAAGATAGGAAAAGCTGAGGCACAGCAACTTACCCAAGTCTGCAGCGAAGTCTGGAGTTCAACCCAGGACTCCAGACCATGAATCCATTGCTTGAACCCAGAAGATCACCCTCAGGGTCATAGAAGAAAGGCTTACCTGTGGCTTGCTGTCTGAGGAAAGATTCGGACGCACACTTCTATAACCCTTGGCAGCCAGAGAAGATGGTTGGGCATCCCCATTGGCATCAGTGGTAGATGATGACCTCCAATCATCTACAAGCGGAAGGAAAACTCAGCTCACAGAGGACTCCCTCCAGCTACAGGAGGAGCAAAAGAAGGGAACTTTTTTCTTCACTTTTTTTTTTCTTTTTTTTTCCAGGCAACAAGAAACATTTCCAAGAAAGCAACAGAAGCAACAACATAAGCAGCCAATGTTTGTACCTGTTTCTGGGGTTTCTGGCTCCAGACCTAAGCATTTCACAGAAAGGAAGGATGGAAGAGATAGGCGTGGAGGATAGGCACAGAGGAAAAAAAAAAAAAAAAAAAGGAAAAAAAAAAAGGGGGGGGGCGGGGGGGGGGGAAGCTGTTACGTTTACAGAAAACTTGTACCAACTGGAGTTAAGAGTTGAGCTACTTCATTTCACACATAAAATGCTTTCTGACAGGGCTGCCTAATTACCATAGAGACCAGCCCTAAACACGATGCCCTCTTTGTTTCTGACCTTTGTAAACACAAGGCAATTCATTCAGAGCAATGAAGAAACAATTGTTCATTGACATTCTTACTTCAGAGGCAAAAAGGCAGCCCAGCTAGCTACTTTCTAAAGCTGCAGCTTGACAGCCAGACACCACAAATTACTGGAAATGTAGGCATCCCCTATTCAGCCATGATACAGGCTATGAAGACATATCTATCCTTATCAACATCACTATGTATGATTAACTGAGATAAGGGACTGCCAACAAATAGATCAGGTTTTGCAGACTATGTGCATGAAGGGAGTTATAAAACATGATGTCGCTTTACAACCCACTCCCTGAAGCCAGATGCATTGGTCTTGCATCACCTATCTACCGACCTCCCACTGGACTCCTTCCCACCCCTCTACCCATTTTGCTGTTTAAGTTATATGCAAAATGCTTTTCCAGCTCCAAAGCACATTTCATAAAGCAATTGAGAGAGTAAGCAAAGGAAGTATTAATGAGCTAATTTCCATAGTAATGAGCTCATTGCCATTCAGGCTGCTGGAAATTTATGAAGCCATCAACAGAAAGGAGAGAGGCAACGACTGTGGGTAGGAGTGAAGAAACAGAGAAATGGCAAGCATGAAAAGAGGGCAGGTCATGAATGGAGCAGAATGGGAGAAGACAACAGAGCAGAAAGTAGCACATTTGGTCTGGAATTAATAGAACTGCCCTTCCTCCAACAATATAGTCAGAAATGATGTATGCTTTGCTTTCAAGAGCAAGTTTGACCCCCTCCCCCCTTAACGGCATCTTGCCTTTGGGATTTCATCCTCTCTGCCAGACCCACAGCACTGGCCAGTTTTGTTGTGCTTTGCCTGTCTCCTACAATTAAGTAATTGCACATCTGCTATTGAAGGATGGCAGACCTCTGTGGCAACAGCCAGCCTCTGTCTGGGATGCTATGCCTCCTCCCTTGACAACCCAAGTGAATGCTATGGTGGCAGTACCACCACCTGGACTCTTTCGGTTTCACCTCACGCCTGGGATAAAAGGAGGTGACACGGGCCTGTTGGGGGGGGGGGGGAACAAAAAAAAACACACACCACACAAACCCCCAAAAACAACACACATTTGAGAGGTTTTGGTGCTCCTGACAGAAAAAGGGAGCTGTAAACAAACTTAAGCCAATGAGTGAGTGGTCATGAAACCTGCACTGGGAGAGAGCAAGAGTCAGTCTCCCTTGACAGGTCTGGTTCTTGCTAGAGGTTTCCAATTATGCTATAGGATCTGGGGCTTTAAATCAGAGCTTTAAAAAGTCACCCCAAGATCATGGACAGACCTCACTTGGGTTATTGTGCATAATATATTCCAGTTAACCTCCCACCCACTTACTTTCAGTTTGCTCAACATCCTGAGGACATGGCGAAGCAATGTTCTGATTCTCTTCATAGGCTGCAGATGCCCGGAGGGTCACAGCTCCTTTTCCACTGCAGACTTTAGTGGGATCCACTTCTACAGAAAATGCACATGCACAGAGGAGACACATTGGAACAGATGATACACAGCTACTAGGATCCATGAGACGTCTATGGAATAATTTTAGCATGGCTGCCTCTGGGTGAATCAATCTAGTAATGTTTATGCAGATGAAGATTAGGTCTGGATTTAAAGTACTGAGAAATCAAAGCAGTTTCATATTCATGTAACTGATGAATGTAGAAGTAAGTTTGAGTCAGTGCAACAGAGCTAAGAAAAGAGGAAAAAAGGATGAGTGTTTGAACCAAATTTCACAGGTCTATTTGCTTTATTTGGTCTGCTTTGTGTGGAGATATTGTACTAGCAAGGACATTCTACCTTTACACCTGTGGCTCTTCTATAGGGATGTCCCAGTGGTATAAAACCATAGGATTCATGTGCTGAAGCCTTAAAAATGCGTTTTGCACAGGGCTGAAAGAGCAGAAAAAAAAGTCTTATGACCACTGGAGGATAAAATCTTGTTAACTATGCTGAGTATGATCTAAAGGCAGGGCACTGCAAGCCACCGCCCTGCCGTCTCCCCCTGTTTCACGGCAGTGTTTCACCTCCTGATATAGGAACCCAAATGCCAAAAACTAGGAGATTTAACATATACCTGTTCAGATCACCCTGTGAGACAGACACCAGATCATGCCAGCATCCTTGCTGAGGCCCGATTCAGCACAGCTTCTGTGCAGTCTTATCTTTGTGCATTTCACTCAAAACCCCAGATCTGGGTTTTTTCCTCCTGGCATCCTATTAAGTATTAACTAATCAGTGCTTCAACTCTATTACCCTCTCCTTGCTTAAGATCCTTCCGGAGAGTTGTTTGCTCTAAGATACCTACAGAAACAATAAGCCTAAAGAGTCTCTCACTTATCCAAGCTACTTCCACAGGAAAACATTTCACCTCCCTTCCTCTTGAGCTGTTACTGATCCTGTAGCTGCCATCAGACTTCACTTTGACCCACCTAAACAGAGGTGCTAGACCTACCATGACACAGGGAGCCTGAAGGAGTCCTGAGCACGTGCTGTGCTACACAAATGACAACACAGTGATTTTTATTTTTATGGGGTGAGGATCATGCTACCTCTGCACGTGGAGGGATGCAGTTCCTCTCTAGGAACTGTTATTATTATAAAAGTTATGCCTTCAGACTGGACAGAGGAGGCAAAGGCTGTTGCTTATTGCCCATGTTTGTGCAGATCAATATTCCCTGGCTGATTTCATTAAGATAATGCCCCATCAAATCCACACCAGTACAGCCTGTAAGATCATGACAACACCTTGGCTAAGGTTGTGAACCACACAAACCACAGCCAAAGTGGCCACGATATAGAGAAACATCAATAGTGACAGATGGACAACAGCAGTAAGGGGAAAGACTCAACAAACGTCAAACACCTGGCTCACATCAGAAGTCCTCTACACTGCAATCACCACAGTTCAAGCTTTTACGTGGGCTTCCAATGCTTTAGGGGTTTCACAAAAAGCATAGCTTCAGATCCACACTTAGAACTAGAGAAAGGATGGAACAAATAAGGAAGCAGATGATATTTTCCTGCAGTTCATCCTTTAGTTAATTTAGGCAGCACTGAGGCAGCCTCTGTGAGGGGAAAGACTATCCACACAGACATATCAAATGCTGCTTAATCCTTAAATATACCACATTTGCACTCACACCAAACAACTGATCACGCCTTAAGGTCACCCACATGCCTGGTGAAATAGAAGTTGACTTCTCTGATTTTCGCATGATCCAGAGAGCAGCAGGATTCCCGTTGCCCAGGAGCCCCATTCTGGCTATCGTTCCCATCCACACAGCACAACATGCAGCCCAAGGACTCTATGGACCCACTTTCAAACCCGAGGACAAAGGTTTAAACTCTGGGACTCCAGTTTCAAGAGTGCTGTAACTCTGAGGCATGGACACACTGATGAGAGTCACCAGGCCTGATTTAGACATCCACAGAGAGTGCAGGGTATCTGTTCTCCCACACTCCTACACCTAGATTCCTTTCCCACATACTGGAGTGAAATGAAAACACAGAGTTCACCATGCCATAAATGTCTCTGTCATATTGGAAGAGAATGAAACCTGGGAACCAAAGCATTTTTTTTTTTAAATTTTCATACAACATGTTAAACTTGTATACTGAATCAAAACAATAATCAGAAAAAAAATTCTGAACTCAGAAAAATTAAATGTTTTGAAAAGCTTTGAAAATAAAATATTGTCAGACTATTTAAATTTGTGAGAGGAAGATAAATGCCCATGATATTGAATTCCCTCACAATTTAGGTGAAATGATGGAAAACAAAAATCTGAATCTCTCAGTATAGAAATCCAGCAGACGGTAATAAACATGATTTTAGCACTATACTAGTCCAACAGAGCACATGGGTGACATTAGGAGAGACAAGCAGGATCAGCTGGACTAGTCTGACTGTCCAAATCCAGCAAAGTATAAAAATAATCTTGGACTTTTAGTGGGAAAAAGTCGGGAAAACATGTGCTTGAGGAGGGGGTGAGACAGCCTGACATCCTTATTTATCCATATAAAGGTTCTATGAAGTTAGTGGATGTACAGAAAAACAAAACCATCCCACCAAGGTTGAACTATGCTTGAACCTGTAAAATACCATCTCTGACATCCATTTATTTTCATAAAGACTAAAGATACACAGGAAACATCCTTTGGTTCATCAGGAGTTTGGTTCAAAATGAGTCTGTAGTAATATTATTCATAACCAAGCATTAGAAGAAAAGCTTACAATGATCCCAGATTCAAGCAGAAACAATTATGGCTACAGAGGAGCAGCATAATTGAGAACAGTGTATTGTGCCATCAAGAGCTAACTTTATTATTTACTGATGAAATCTACAGCTCTGGAAACAGTGAGAAGAGGATGAAGCTGAAAACTAGCCAGAGTGCGTGGGTGAAGCAGAGAGAGAAAGAGAGAGAGACAGAGATGGCCAACTAATGCATGGCAGGGGGAGGAAGGAAGAAGATACCTGTAGGCAGCACTAGGTGAGG